GGATGGAATTCCGGATATGCACGACAGACAAATAATCCCTGGTGGGCAGTGTGGAACCTGTTGTTCCTACCTGTATTATTATTCTATACTGTATTTCACTATCGTCTGATTATTTATTCATAAATTACCCACAATACACCACAACGTTGACTAATTGTTATTTTTTTCATGCCGGTCTAACGATAATTGCTGAAACTCGTCTGTGTATAAAGAAGACTCATTTGACTGGCAAGTGCTCACAGACGAAAAATACCAAATCTTTTTTTATATTGTGAAGTCCAAACCACTGCTGCCCTCTGGCAGCTAAAGTCTATCAACGCAAGCAATTTGCTCAGCCCGGTCAGTAAAGCTCACTGTCTCGTGATTTAATTTAAAGTCCCCCCCCACCACACTCTGAGCTGTGGGAGTTGTGGTTAGCCCAATGTTCTTCACGGAAGGTCCCCGCGGGCCACTAGCGGCCCCTGGTAGCCATCAGTGCGGCCGCCGACAATACACTAACGTAAAAACAACCGCGTCGTCTTGCGGTCAAACCGCCAATGGTTTCAAATGTGTGGCGGCCCTCGCACCGATGATGTCTTATCAACGAAAATTCCCCCCCCCCCCCTCTGAAATTTAGTGAAGAACACCGGGTTAGAGCTATGAACCCATCGACATGAGTTCGAATCCCATTCCCCACTGACGGCGTGCGTCAGCGACGGGAGCGTCAGCGACGGGAGCACGTCCATGGGCTACCCTTAACTATTTTATTTATTTATTTTACCAAGTAAGGCCCACTCAGCTGTATAGCTCTTTTTCAGAAGCGACCTGGCCCACAAATGATAGCTCAAACGAAGTGACTTGGCGTGTCGACATGTATAGCAGCCAAGCACTCGAAGCGCGCGATGTTCATCCTTAATGTAAAAAGGAAAAACCGGAGGACCCGGAGGAAAATTCCACGCGACCACTGGGAGAGAGACACCGCAAACTTGAAATATACAGCAGCAGGCGGCAGGGTCGGGAGCGAACCCACGACCTCCTGTGTACCAGGCGAGGTAGTTAACATCTCCTACCCACCGTGATGATGATTGATGATGATGAGAGAGACACCGCAAACTTCAAATATACAGCAGCAGGCGGCAGGGTCGGGATCGAACCTACGACCTCCTGTATACCAGGCGAGGTAGTTAACATCTCCTAGCCACCGTGATGATGATTGATGATGAGACACGCAAACTCCAAATATACAGCAGCAGGCGGCAGGGTCGGGATCGAACCTACAACCTCCTGTGCACCAGGCGAGATAGTTAACATCTCCTAGCCACCGTGATGATGATTAATGATGATGAGAGAGGCACCGCAAACACCAAATATACAGCAGCAGGCGGCAGGGTCGGGATCGAACCTACGACCTCCTGTGTACCAGGCGAGATAGTTAACATCTCCTAGCCACCGTGATGATGATTAATGATGATGTGAGAGGCACCGCAAACTCCAAATATACAGCAGCAGGCGGCAGGGTCGGGATCGAACCTACGACCTCCTGTGTACCAGGCGAGATAGTTAACATCTCCTAGCCGCCGTGATGATTATTGATGATGATGAGAGAGACACCGCAAACTCCAAATATACAGCAGCAGGCAACAGGGTCGGGATCGAACCCACGACCTCCTGTGTACCAGGCGAGGCGGTTAACATCTCCTAGCCACCGTAGCACCTCAATACCAAATTCCGAGGGATGGGGGGTGTAGGTGAGGGCGTTGGCAGAGTAGTTGTGATTACGCTTGTATACCTAACAAAGCCTCAGTCCGAGACGAATAATTGTTAGGAGGGTATTATCAGTTGGGGGCGATGGATTGCTCTGTACATTATATTCCAGTTGAGTCACGGGGGTTATGGCCGAGACAGAGACCATCATGATGCTCGCCGTCCTTGAGCGAAAACGGTGCAGTCACAACGAAGCATCACAACTAAATCACAAATATTCCGGCTGCTTGTTTTAGTATTTTATTTATTACCCAACCTTGCAGTAAACAGCCATGCGTGCTTTTTCACTTGCACGTTGTTGTTGTTGTGTCTGGCATACGTCAATAAGCGTCTCAGTTTATTTGCTCTAGCCGGGGTGAGAAGCCTCGTTTGTAACAGCCACCTGCATGTGGAGATGGGCTGGGTGGTGGTTGGTTGGTGGTGGCGCATCTAGATTAAAAAACTTACTTCTTCAGAACCGCTTTCTGTGTTTAGTTCGTTGTCCTTACCCCGCACCTCCGATCAGTGCGGTTGGCTCCGTAACGGTGCGAAAGAAGTTCAACATAGGTGCGTACACAGTTGTGGAGGCAGCAGCGACGCTTGGTGGATCGCGCAAATCTTGTGAAACTCCCTTCGCCGTTGGCGTCTCGCCGGGAGAGTGCGACACGGCAAAAAAAAATGTGGCCTCCACCTGCTCCATCTGTATGGGATACAGCGTTGCCCCCTCGCGTTCCTGTATTTTCTCCTGGTACTGCGATTTCTTCCCACATGTAGAATCTCTTTCGCTGGCCGATTACATTTTTATATATATGTCAAGGACCGGGTAAATTTGGCACTGGCCCTCCCGCCTGGCTGCTGCTGCCTTCCCGCTTGCTGTGTTTCCTCCTTGCACCTCCGAGTCGTCCCGTCTCTCTCTGGACGAAAACGAGCGAATGCTGCGTGACAGCAGCGCAGCGTTACCAGTTGACATGATTATCACGACCACATCATCTACGCACGTGTAATATATGGGTGGACGGTGCTGCCTCATCGACACCACAGCCCAGGTCTGGCACCCTGTTCGTCTTGTTGGCTACGTACGGTGCGAAAGAAGTTCAACATACATACATCTGCTTGTACACAGTGCCGGATTATCCTAGCAGCAAAAGTAGCTACATATGCCAGGGGCCCCGCACTTTCAAGGGCCCCGCGCTAAATGCTTTCAAGCTATCAATTCCGGTTCGGTGATTCTGCACTATTACTAGATTACTAGACTGCCTTCATCTTTTAAGAACGACTGGGTGTTTAAGGTTAGCGATTTGTCGTATTATCTGGCTGTATAGCAAATGAAAAAATACAATTACTTTAATACGCAAGTAAACAAAAAAAATTGTGTTTTAATATTTACGTGTGTTTTTTTTTATTTAGGGCCCCTTTATAACAGATGCTACAGGCCCCGCACCTAGCTTAATCCAGCACTGCTTGTACCCTATGGATAACGGTGTGTGTAGGCACGATTTGGGTTGTGACTCTGCCATTTGGTCTGGGTCACCGGCTCCGCAGCGCCAAGGTGAATCCATTCGCGTCGATGGAAAAGGGTTCCAGGCCACGGCCCTGGTTGCACGTTGGCACAAGCGCGAAGGCAAGGACGGAGATTGTTTTGTAAGAAAATGAAAAAAAAGAAATGCAGCCGAACGTTGGTGACATTCCCGCGAAAACACGTCAACACATTTTTCTATCGGTTCAAAAAAAAGAGAAGCTAAAATGTTAACTCCAGTAATTGCCAAACATTTAGTCCGGAGAGCCTCCCCAAAGGATGTATCAGCGCTTTGTTGGAGGAAGAGAACGATTCCACCCCTGTTAACCAGGCTCAAGTGGGCTTAGCTTCCGCAGACAAAATCCCTTTTCGCGATTCAGTGGAATTACCGAGAGCTCAACGGGCCAAGCAAAGGTATCCGTGCAAGATAAACAATAGGCGCGCGCGCACACAACTCCACGTGCACACATAACTCCACGTGACGATGGTAAAACCACGTTCAACAATGCACCCAAGCTTTCAGCATTTGTTTCAGAAGTCTGTCCCTGCTGACGAGACCCCGAAAGGGCGAATCCGTGTCCAGAGTTTGTATTCTCAAACAACCGATTTGTCAACGTGGGCAGCAGAGGACGGTGCAACACAATCTACTTTTGTACTGCACGGTACTTGCTTTCCTGCCGTGTCTCGAGTCAACGCCTTCACCCACCCGTACTCACCAGCGTGGCGAAGTATGGTCAAAGAAGGCCCCCAAAACCCCGCTCAGGTATCGGGAGGGCCTGGTCGAAGGAGTGGATTGAGAGGAGGGCCTGCACGCGTACATTTACAACATCATTCTGGACGGCTCCTAGGCTAAAAAAAATGTCGTTCTTCTTTATGCGGACAGATGAATGGCAGTCTATTTGTGAACTTATTTACCGACAGTGCTCCACGTTAGGAGTTTTCGTCAACCCCACTGCTCACTCGCCACACAGCTCAGCAGGGTGCAGAAAGTTCAAGCTGAACATATTAAAAAAAACACATTTTACTTTTAAGATAAATTAGTTCATTTAATTCGTACGTTTTGATGAGCGAAAGGTGTTGTCTACTACTCAATAGCTATTATTAGGTAACTATTCATACGCCGATATAAAACATGGTTATTGCAAACTAATGTTTAAAATATAATTCTGATCAGGCCCCATGGCCTAAAGTGCAACTTTCAACTCTTATTATCAACTTATTATTATTCACTATATTTCTAAGTCCTCTATTTTTATCGCGGTGGTGAGGGTATGGTATCTCCTTCGCCTTGTACATAGGAGGTCATGGGTTCAATCCCGGACCCTGACGATGCCTGTCGCTGTATATTTGGAGTCCGCGTGTTCTCTGTCTCCCTGTGATGGTCGCGTTAATCTCTCTCCGGTTTTTACCTCCACATTTACAAAAGGACCATGCGCTTAGATTATTTACCTGCTACTATAAATTGCCACACCTGGTGACGATCTAAAGCCACTTCGATGAGCTATAAACTCACGCGTGGCCAGGTCTGTAAAATAGCTAAGAGCTCAGCAGGCGCTACCTGGTAAAATAAAATAAGAACGTTATGAAAGAGGGCCGTTGGCCTGAAACGTCACCTATTGTATTTTTCGATTTAAAGATTTCGTGACTGCAGGGATTCATATTCTTGGTTCTTTCGGTGAAGTCACGTAGAAGGGAAATAATAAAATATTATGTTTTATTTTTTCTTATTTTCTTATTTCCCTTCTACGCGACTTTACCGAAAGAACCAAGAATATGCCACCTATTGTATATATTTTTGTTTCTTTTGAAGGCCACACACAACACACACACACATTGGTGTTGAGGAACGCGTGGAGTTTTCCGAGGGCACGAGAGAGCCGAGGGGAGCCGGTGGTGCGCGCAAACGCTGGCACACGAACACTGGCGCGTTCCCCCCATCGCGACTGGCAGGCGGATGAACCGGCCGCCGCTTCGGTGCCAAGTCGGAGAGAAGTTCAACTCCAAACACCAAGCGTGGGGGGATGCCCTCCCTGGCATCCATCTGTCCGTCCGTGGAATGCCTCGGTGTGTCCCACGTGCCTTCTCTGGTTGTGTCTACACCGTTAGCTCCTGAGCCATCTTTGTATCTCACAACCCGGCCCATCCAATAGTTCACCTCTCCACCGAATCGAGGCGAAGTTGTCTCCCTGACACAAATTAGCGCAGGGGCTGTCTTCGATGACGGTCCTGAGCCAGTGGTGGAAGTTCCACACTGCTATGGCGGGAGACAGTTTGTCCGCAGGAAGGCCACCGCTGACTTTACAGAAAGTGATGTTTGCTGTCATTGATCCTTGAGAAATGATGATGGAGCTGCCGATGAGGAGGTCATGATGCTGACAGCTCATTACAGGGCCACGTTGGCGATGACAATGATGATAACAGTGACGTGGACGATGATTATACTTGTGTCGATGACGGTAATGATGTGGGGTCTAGTTAATTATGACAACAATTATGTCGTTGTTGATGATGGAGTTGATGATGACAATGAATATTGTGATGGTGATGATGATGAAAACGACAACAATCTATCACGGCCTGACTGAAAACCGCAGATTTTAACCCGCGTACTTCCTCCTGTGTGTCGATGGTTCCAACCTTGGTGCTGGGCACAGTCAGCAGCAGAGGAGGCAGTTGCACAGCAGTGTGGTTGGCACAGGCCCTGGTGCAAGAAATGCAATCAGGGTCGCCCCTGTCCAAATTCCCCAACTTCGACGCAGCCCTGCAGCTGGGCCCCCCCTGCACCCTGGCCCGTGAGGCCGTGGGGCAGTTGCACCGCCTGCACACTCGACGGCTACGCCGGTGGGAGGAGACCTCAGCAGCATCGTCGAGGTTTCTTCCCCGCGTCCTCCGCGCCCAGCTGCAGGTAACCTCCATCGGACAGGTGACCCGGCTCCTCGGCACTTCCCACACACATCATCTCCTCCACCAACACCCTGGTAGGAGGGGGGAGCGGGGGGGGGGGGCAGCGGGGGCGAAGGGGAGTAGGGGAGCAGCAGGACTGGATTGACATTTCAGGCCATGGCACAACCTTCACGGCGCATGGAGAGGCCAGATAAATCCTACAGCGTGGTTTTGGAAATTAAATCCATAATCACAGCAATAATAATCTCGGATTTTTTTAAAGCGTCTTTTACGTCAAGGCATCCCAAAGCGCTGTTTACGAAGCAGAACGATTAAAATGTGAATGATTGAATTTCATTTAAGTTAAATCAAAATTGCACAAACCTACATACTGTACAATCGAATCAAGGCACAGCGAAACTAAGTGCACAGTCGGCACCAAAAACTCTGTTGTGTTGGGCTTTCAGTGTAATGCAAAAGAAACTATGATACAAACCCGTGAAGTCAAAAGGAGACGGCTAAACATGTGAAACCTAACACGAAGAGTAAAAGAGAAACCCAAGCAAAATACCAAAAACCGATATAACAGCAATAGAACTACCGCACTCGAATTACAGTACAATCAAAGAGTACACAATAATAACAACAAGGTCACTTTGTCTATAACTACGAGTTACATGCCGAACATTTAAAAAAATCTTGTTGGTTTTGGCTTTGATTTAACCTTTACCATTCGTACATCACGTTCAACAACCAGAAACTAAAACTGCCACCGCGCGGGAGGCGAGGGGGGGTCAGAAGGTCACGAGAGCTCGCGCCGTGACCTTCGACCCCTGAACCTGGAGCGGACTGCCGATGGACGGGCGGCACGTACCGTATGGAGTCCGTGATGTTGTGGTTCATCTTCACGGACGTCTCCGCCCAGCCCAGGAACCCCGAGTCCCGGCTGAACTGCTCGATCTCAGCCCGGCTCATAGCCCAGTCGGGCAAGTCGCTCTGCAGAGGTAAGGATGATGATTATCACTTTTGCTTCGGTACCACAGTACCAGAGAGAGCTTGGGTGAGTCTCAAGATCTGTTTTTTCCTGAAGCCCTTTGCCATGTTTTCTCGCTGTAAGGGTGGCGATGTTTGTTGCAATACGTAATCCCAATTGAGCGATTTGCCGATACGTTTTCATTATTGTGTTGCTTGGCCAATACTGGTAACAAAAAATATAGCTTTTGGAGGAAACCGGAGAATGCAAAAGGAAAACACACGTAAGTATGGTGAACTTCTTTCGCACCATACGTAGCCAACCGTGCGCTGCTAATTCGAGGTGCGGGGGAAAGGACAACAATCTCAACACAAAAGGCAGTTCTAAAGCAATGAGTTTTCAATCTAGATTTAAAAGTGCATAGCTCCAGTTGCTTCCTAATATATCGGAAGGACAAGGGGAGAGAGAACATACAAACTCCACACAGAGAGGCGTCCCCAGTCGCTAGTTGAACCCAGGCGCTTCGTGCTACGGGGTGCGGCACGAGTGCTACCGCTGCACCACTCTGCCGCGACCGTGCTGCGAGATCGATTCGCACGGTTGGCTACGTACGGTACGAAAGAAGTTCAACATACTCTTTGGTTCTATTGGGTAAAGTCACGTAGGTGAAAATAAAATAACAAAAAAAATAACAAAAAATCACGCCGTTTCGGCCACAACACAAGCGGCCTTCATCAGGTGAAGTGACGAGACTGTCTGGAGGACAGCGCTGGAGTGGAAGAAGCCACGCTCAGATCGCGACCTTTAGGCTGTGTGAGAAGAGAAACACCAAGCGCCTTGACAAAGGAATTAGCATATAATTTAGCATTGAAATGGCTCATTGAAATAGCTAAGTTAAAGTATACACATCCGCAGAGGTACCCCTTGACAAAGGAATTAGCATAGAAGTTCAACATACACACGTACACAACCAAGGATTACTTTCTCACTCTCGCCAATTAACGCCGGGTAAGCCAGCAGTACAAAGAAGACGGTTTCAAGAGCGGCAAGTTTTTAAAGGGCAGCCCTGCGAGTGTTTCAATCAGTCGTTCTTCGATTCGAGTGCCAATATCGCCCACAAAAAAGCAGGCATCAGTGCACATTACGGCAGAACGAGAGCGGCACAACAGCGGGCGTGGAGCAACAGGAATGAGAGAAGAAAGCCATCACGACCTCAGCGGCTAACACCGACTGAGAATAGTAAAGTGCAACCGCGAGCAATGGATAGCAGAAGAAATGTAAGTAGCAGACACGTAAATCATTAGTAACAAAAAAAAAATTCCTCCTAGATTTTTAGATTTCCTCACTCCAGTGCTGGCAGACGAGCCTCCACCGGAGGAATCCCGTTTCGAGAGAGGGCACTTTGGCCTACTCTTCCAGGCTGGCCATGGGATGGGGGGCAGGGGCCGGGGGGAGGTTAAGAATCTTGCTCCATTGTTTCAACTGCCACACCGGGAGATCGAATCAAACCGGTGAGAGCAGTGTGCTCACAATTATACCAGGGCACAATCTCAAACTACAGTCCACAAATAAATGTAAGTGACGCTTAGTAGTGGCATACAACAAAAACAACCCCATAAACATCAGAGGACTGATTGCATTGCGACTGTGCAAAGGCTGCCCAGGCAACATAACGATGTCTAAAGGACCTTACTGATAAACCTAAATTACATTGAAACCGGTCCATTGAAACAAGTGCTACAAAAAAACAATGGCACGGAAAACCTGGGATCGGCTGATGTTTACTTGAATGTAATGTTCTATGTGGAGGAACAATCTTGTTTACTAAATAGCGTATTACCCATCCCCCCCCACCACCGTGGGGCCACGTGATTGCTACTGCATGCACGTGACCCACGCTGCTGAGTAAGACATCGCGACCAATGCCATTAGCAACGCGGCGACCAAAACGTCGATGAATAATCTCCCGGTCTCCAGCTCAGCAACAACTTGAGTCATAATAATTCCCCCGCCACATTTTGTATGAAAAATATGTTGCTGTACCGATTGCGTTTCTCGGTAAGGTGGTACGCAATAACTTTTCACGCAGGTGCATCTTGAATGTGGGTTGGTGATTGGATGGGCGGATGGAAGCGTGGGTGGACGAACGATTTGCGTCAGTGGGCGAGCAGCCGAACGAACGAGTGGGTAAATGAATGTGTGCGTGCGGCGAGTTTATGAATGGGTGAGTGAATGCACAAGTGAGTCGGTGAATGAGTGAGTGGATGAATGGGTGAGGAGAAGGATGGGTGAGTGAGTGGGTGAGTAGGTAAGTAGATGAATGTGTGACCGATTGAATATGTGGCTGAGTATGTTCACGAATTCATGAACGAGTAGCGGAAATATTGAGTGGATCAATAAATGAACGTGTTGATGAGTGTATGAGTGAGTATGGTAAAGATCTGGTTGAGTATATGAATGAGTGGGGGAATACGGTGAGGATGGTAGATGAGCGGGTGACTGGGTGAGTATGGTGAGGATATAGGTAAGTAGATGAGTGAGTATGTAAATGAGTGAGGGGGTGAGTATGGTACGGATCTGGCTGAGTCAATTAACGTGGATGGTGAGTGTTTGGGTTAGTGGATGAGTGAATATTTGAGTGAGTGAGCAAATAAGCTAGCAGGTGAACATGGTAAAAATGCGAGTGAGTAAGTGAGTCAACGAGTGAGCATGGTAAGGATACGGGTGAGTAGGTGAGTGAGCGGGTGAGTAGGCGACCGAGCAGGTGAGTATGGTAAGGATGCGGGTGAGTAAGCGAGTGAGCGGGTGAGTAGGCGAGCGGGTGAGCAGCGGTGGGCCATGCGAAACCACGTGCGTGCCTTGTTGGCGAGCAGGATGCACGGGATGGGCCTCCCGTCGGGCAGGAAGGCCTTGGAGTCGAGGTCGCGTTTCCACTTGAGGCAGTTGTGGAAGGAGGGCAGGGAGGCCACGTCGAACATCACAATGCAACCAGCAGCGTCCTTGTAGTAGAGCCGTGTCATGGACGTGAACCGCTCCTGCCCTGAACGCGAGAGGCAGACCCACGGGAAACTCTCGCTCCTAGCCCTGAACGCGAGAGGCAGACCCACTGGAAACTCTCGCTCCTAGCCCTGAACGCGAGAGGCAGACCCACTGGAAACTCTCGCTCTTAGCTCTGAACGCGAGATGCAGACCCACTGGAAACTCTCGCTCCTAGCCCTGAATGCAAGATGCAGACCCATTGGAAACTCTCGCTCCTAGCTCTGAACGCAAGAGGCAGACCCACGTGAAACTCTCGCTCCTAGCCCTGAACGCGAGTGGCAGACCCACTGGAAACTCTCGCTCCTGCCCTGAACGCGAGTGGCAGATCCACGTGAAACTCTCGCTCCTAGCCCTGAACGCAAGAGGCAGACCCACGTGAAACTCTCGCTCCTGCCCTGAACGGGAGAGGCAGACCCACGTAAAACTCTCGCTCCTAGCCCTGAATGCAAGAGGCAGACCCACGTGAAACTCTCGCTCCTAGCCCTGAACGCGAGTGGCAGACCCACGGGAAACTCTCGCTCCTAGCCCTGAACACGAGAGGCAAACCCATTCGCCTGGCAGAAGCACCGTGGTGACGTTACCGCCACTTAGTGGCAATTGGCGGCTGTTGTTGTTGACTTGGCCTTGATAGGTGCTCGCTAACGGCACTTGCCCCTACAGTCTGGTAAGGCTATACTGGGATGCTTGCCTTTGTTTTTGAGACTGGTGACAGAATGGCAATGAGGTCAGCTGATGTGCAGGAGTGCAATGGGGCGAGAAGGAACGTGGAAATCGCAGAGCTGTGAGGGATGGCGACGGGGTGGGGTAGGCCTTCATTCAGCAGTCGATAGACCATGGCCCGTGATAACGATGACAGTACCTGCTACGTCCCATAGTTGGAGTCTGATCGTCTCAGTCTCGGACCATTGGATGACTTTCAGAGCGAAATCCACTGCAGGTTCGAAAGACAAACAAACAACAACACCAACAGGTGTTCTCTCACACACGCAGGCACAACAAAGACAATGATCACGTTCATATCGTCTAGCCGGGTGAGAACTACAGGATAACAGGAAGAATCTCATTTGCAAAACTTTCTGTCGTCACTAATAGGGGGCTTTTCGGCAAGATGTAACAATTTTCGCACACACTGCACTTACAAACAGCGTTTCCAAGTCCAAGTGTCGAGCTTATTTTGTTGGACCAGGTGGGAACTCAAAGAGACCAAGATAATGTAATTTGCAAGTGTGACCTGGGGTATAAGTCTCCCAGCAGGGGGTGATTATTGCTGTTGTGTGTCGAAGCCCAATTTGAGTTTCGAAATTGGAAATGTTTTGTGCGATATTTTATATTTCTCAAGGTACACAGATGTTTTTGCTCTGCTTTCTCTATACTTCTTGGCTTTATTTTCAATTTGTTCCATCATTTTTGGTGAACCATATTACTCTTGCGAATGAGACTCATCCCCGCTCTCATACGTTTTCACCTGGGTCACACAAAATAAACTTAATTAACTCGACTCATTTGAGGTCGGTACCGCACACGAGCGATGTGGGGGGGGGGGGGGGTGACCAACACCATTCCCGGCCGTCTTTTTCTCCCCAGCCCCAGGTGCTCAATGAGAGGCTACGGACTGCTTCAGCTAATGTGTCTGTAGCACTGCGCTATCGTGCCACACAAAATGACAGTGGCAGATGCGTCGCCGACATAATTTTCGTCAACGGTTTGTTTACACAAAGACCCCCCTATAGACTTCAGTGACTGATGGGGCAGTTGCTGTTAGCGAGCACCTATGAAGGCCGGCGCAGCACACGAGGGGGTGGATGGTCAGCACCACACCCGGACACTTTTGTCTCCCCAGTGGCGATGTTTTACACACTGCACCAAGTACTCATCGCCCTCCTGTCCCCCGCTCCTTTCCAGGATTGCCCCTGGACACAACACGCGGGCGTGGAGACGCTCACCTCCCACCGTGGCGCGGTAGTGCCTGGTGTAGTCGTCGTGCACGAATCTCTGCACGAAGGAGGTCTTGCCCACCACGGGGTCACCCACCACGAGCACCTTGAAGAGGCGATCCACGTGCATGGTGGCGGCGTGCATGGTGGCGGCGTGCACGGTCACGCCACGCGTGCGGCCCTCGCGTGGAGGGCACGGGCTGGTGATGGCGGTGGCGAGGATGGTCACAGAAGGTGACGATGCTCAGGGTCTGTGTTAGCCGCCGAGGTTCATTCACGTCCTGCTGTAAATGTGCACTGACGCCTACTTTGCCGAGGGCGAGTCTGGCACGTCAAATACTGGTAAACGATTGATAGATGCCCTATTGAGATGGTGATAGCGGTGATGCACGATTGAGATGATAGTGAAGATAGTGAATAGGTCAAAAAGGTGATTCCCTATTGATGACGATGATGACAGTGCTGATGTCCTATTGAGATGATAATGGTGATGATGTTGCAATTAAATTGAATTGTCGATATTCTGTCATGGTGACGATGTCTATAGACTACCATGAAGTTTGATTACGGTTGATAAAAAATCATTTATATTAAATACTCAAACAGAATGATGATGAATATGATTGATAATGATTGTAACCAATATCGAATAACGATATCGATGAGGACAGTGGTGTCAACGATTAAATTAGGACACGATTAAAGTCATCATGATCTTGGTCAGTGTCTAACAGACACTCTCAAGAAAAAAAATATTGCTACGATCAATTTTGACGATATACCACAATATAATTTGATGATGATAATGATGAAGATGAAGATGCTGGTTGTCCAATGTTCAAAGAAATAATACAATCTACTTAATTATCACTCTAAGGTGGTTAAATGTGGCCTGTAAGATCGATCCATGACCTCTCGAAATTGAAAGCAACGGTAATTTTTATTGACGCTTATATATATACGGAACCCCACCAATTTTAAAACAACAGCAGCGATGGGCGTTAAAATTACAATGTTTACAACTCCACGCGAGTTCCGAAAACGAATTTAAAAGTGAACAAGGCGATTGTGCTTAAGTCATTCGAGTTTGCAGAGTGAATTTTGATTTGGATTTTTTAAACGTCGTCTTTACTCTTGTAACTTGTTGTTAAAAACGCGTTATAATTGTCCTTTGTCTGCTCGGATAAACATATAAAAAGTCCTATCGTGCTCTTTAAAATAATCACGCCAGGCAGAGTGAATGTTGAGCTATCTTCTAATGTCCGGTACCGTATATCCTCAAGGTGCAATCAAGTACCCTGTAAGAGTATGTAGTATTGTACGGTATCCTGCGGATTAATAGACGCTCGGGAAAGTGAGACGCGCCACTAAAAACCTGTGTCCCGTCTCAATAAAGTCAGACAGAGTGATAATATCGATAAAACTGAGGCTATATTTTGAGGACTAAGCGAGTCCCAAGATCATCTGAGTCTGTCGGACAGAGGAGGGGGGGGGGGGGGTGATGAGGGATTAGAGGACTTGTGAAACGACATCGATGACACAGTAAGCTATGACATAGTAAAGGGCCGTCCGTAAATGACGTCACGCGATTTTGGACGATTTTGACCCCCCTCGTCACATGGCGTCACAAAAAGTCAGACCCCCCCCTCAAATATGACGTCACAAAGCTCTCCCCCCCCCCCAAAAAAATATAAAACATGCTTCAAATCGCTTTAAACTATTGTCATTGTAGTGCGTATTTAATGTGGGGCTGCACTCTGATGTTGTAGGAGAAAACATTCATGAAAAAGTTATATTTAATTAAATAGAACGTGTTGTCTATATTTATTTATAAAGTTGCGCATTTTGATGTGACGTCACATTTCTCAAACCCCCCCCCCCTCGTCACACATCGTCACAAATGTCTGACCCCCCCCAGGTGCGTGACGTCATTTATGGACGGCCCCTAAGCTATGACACAGCCAGTTATAACGGGCGGATTCGACCACCATTCTGCTCTGTATTGGTTCTCTGCTTTCCTCTCGTGGCTTCAACACACGTGCAACGCAACTGGCGTTGATGACACACGTGCAACGCAACTGGCGTTGATGACACAGTGCAACGCAACTGGCGTTGATGACACACGTGCAACGCAACTGGCGTTGATGACACACGTGCAACGCAACTGGCGTTGATGACACACGTGCAACGCAACTGGCGTTGATGACACACGTGCAACGCAACTGGCGTTGATGACACATTGCAACGCAACTGGCGTTGATGACACAGTGCAACGCAACTGGCGTTGATGACACAGTGCAACGCAACTGGTGTTGATGACACACGTGCAACGCAACTGGCGTTGATGACACAGTGCAACGCAACTGGCGTTGATGACACACGTGCAACGCAACTGGCGTTGATGATACATTGCAACGCAACTGGCGTTGATGACACACGTGCAACGCAACTGGCGTTGATGACACAGTGCAACGCAACTGGCGTTGATGACACACGTGCAACGCAACTGGCGTTGATGACACACGTGCAACGCAACTGGCGTTGATGACACACGTGCAACGCAACTGGCGTTGATGACACACGTGCAACGCAACTGGCGTTGATGACACACGTGCAACGCAACTGGCGTTGATGACACAGTGCAACGCAACTGGCGTTGATGACACACGTGCAACGCAACTGGCGTTGATGACACAGTGCAACGCAACTGGCGTTGATGACACACGTGCAACGCAACTGGCGTTGATGACACATTGCAATGCTGAAGCATGTTCCTCCTGTGAACTACCCAGCTGGGATGACACACACACGCACACACAACATCGGTGTTCTTCATTGCAGGGCCCGCCAGCCCCTGGCGGAGCCCTGGTGGCATTTACAGCGCGGTCCCTGGACGTGCGGCCCCTAACAATACACAAATGTGAAAACACCTCACCCCCTCATCATCATCATCGTCGTCGTACTGTCAAACCCCCCAACGTGGCAGCCCTGGCGAAAGTGCCCCCCCCCCTCTCTGAAAATGAGTGAAGAACACTGCTCCTACAGCAACAACGTCGCCCCTTCCTGCAACAACTTGGCAGGACATTTTCAGGGTAAACAAATGTAAATAATCATGCCTTCCCACCTGCTGACGGACGCTCGTGTTGCGCCCGAAACGTCGTGATTCGTTCTATTTGATTTATTTCATACCTAAGTGGCTTTACCGAAAGAACCAAAGAGTATAAATAATTATTATTATCATAATAATAATGAGCCACAGCCAACGTCGGCCCAGCACTACTTCGGAGTTCCCGTCTGGCGCAGTTGTTTTTGTCCTGATTGATATTGCTTCGTTGTCGCACTCCATTATATTTGGAATTCGCGTTTTGCTCTCGTCATCTTTGGCGAACGGGATCATTCCCCCCCGCAAATTAGACTTGTCCTGGTCTCTTCAAGTCTCACCTGGTTCAACGAAATAAACCACAAGCAGCGAGCCGTGACCAAACGAGCTAGGCCACGTAGAGGTATCACAGAGAAGGGACTACGACACTGATAGCTGTGATGCAGTGAGTTATGACACAGTAATGACATGACCTGCTGTGCTACAGACAGCTACACAACAGCGAGCTGACCTGCGACAGCCAGCTGTGGTACAGCCAGCTTATGGTACGGAATGTATGACACCGATGTAGCACAGTTCGGTATTGTACAGTCGGCTATGGTAAAGAAGTTATGACATTGATGTCACACTCGGCTATGGTACAGCCAGCGATGATACGGAAGCTATGACAAAGACGTAGTAGAACTGATACAGCCAGCATTGACAGAGGCATTCACCTAATCACCCCCCTCACTGACCTCTCACCTAGTCACGTACTCACCCACTTACTCGATCTGCTTCACTTTCACTCACCCACTCACTTACCCAATTTACTCACTCACCCACTCACACAATCACTTACTCAATCATTCACTCACTCACCCACCTACACAATCACTTACCCAATCACTCACTTACCAACTCACACAGTCACTTACCCAATCACTTACCCAATCATTCACTCACCAACTCACACAATCACTTACCCAATCATTCACTCACTCACCCACCTACGCATTCACTTACTCACCAAATCACACAATCACTTACCAATCGCTCAGTGACTCACTCACTCACACATTAACTTACCCACTCTCACTCAACAACTAACACAATTCCACAATCACGCAGTGACTTCTCATTGACTCACTAACTTGTCACTCACTCACCTCTCACCCACTCACTCAAGCTCTCGCTCACCCACTCATTCAAGCTCTCGCTCACCTATTTACTGACCCTCTATGCTTGAGTTTCACCCAACCACACAGTCACTTAATCACTCACCTCTCACTCTCCGACTCACGCACTCACCCTCTCACTCACTCTCACCCTCGAACTCACCCTCTCTGCTTCACTCCCCCTCACCCACCCACTCCCCTCCCCCTCGCTGCTCCACTCTCACAAACCAACACAATCACACGCTCACTATTTTTGTATACACACTCACTAACCTCTCACTTGCGCAACCACATGCTCACCCGCTCACACGTCTCTGCTTAAACTCCGACTCATGCACTCACCATCTCCGCTCCGAACTCACTTACCCAGCCACTCACCCTTGCCTCTCAGTGGGGTGTGCCCATGTGAAGCGCATGTGATTCCAGAGGGCGGGGGGCGGAGGGGGATGATCTAGGGGGCTGGGGGAGGAGAGAGGGTAGGCAATTAGTTGGGGATTGGGATGAAGCGTGGGGATGATGATGCTGATGGGTGTGGATGGGGTAAGGAGCTGTGATGTGGGGTGATGGAGTGTGATGTGGGGCGTGATGGCGAGTCGGGAATATTAGATGGGATGGAGGGGTGCCGATTCAATTTGCTGAGCAATGATGGAGCGAGGTGGGTACAGCTGGATAGGGGTAGGTGGTATTGAAACCATGCGTCACGGACTCAGCGTCAGTGGCGTGGTTTTCGAGTGTGCAGGTGGTGCAACTGCACAGAGACCCATTGGGAAACAATGTCATTGCCTCTCCTCTATACACAGTTCACGCATTCTAAAATCGATACATGTACAATCTTGTAACCCATGTCTGTGGGATGGATGTCAATGAAGACAGTGTGGTTCATAGGGACATGGTTCTAGCTCTCGCGTGCAAAATGTTATCCCGAATCCCGAGTCAGGCCGCTCGATGGTAAACAGATCACGTGATAGAAATTGTGGCGCCCTTGCACAACTGCACATCAGAAGATCAGCGATCGATTCTTAGAGACATATATTGTTACCATTAAGTGTAAAAAAGGTACAAAGGCAACGGTGCAGCCCTGCAACTGCTTGCTCACGCCACTGCTGGTAGAAGGGGCTCCGCTAGAGAGAGCGCCTCTGTGGAATGCCAGTGTGTAACTGCTCTGTCTTTGGTTCACTCTCTTACAAGCTGGTCAGACGTCTTGGAAGAGGAGATGCAGAACGGTAAGTACGATACGTCGGGAAACAAAGCTGCACATTGGTGAAAACCCAGTAAATCTTGGCAACTTAAAAAAAAGAAGTGTCGAAATATTTTTATTTATTTAAAGCTTTCGTGACTGCAGGGATTCTTCTTCTTGGTTCTTTCGGTAAAGTCACCACGTAGAATGGAAATAAAATAATAAAAATAATAAAATAAAATTCTCACGACGTTATTTTATTATGTTTTATTATTTTATTATTTTACTTCCCTTCTACGTGACTTTACCGAAAGAACCAAGCAGATGTCGAAATAATGTTCTCAAGGTGCATTGAGCATGCTTGCGACGACTATAGAAGGCGCTTGGCAGGTCAGTTGATGTTTCAACTCGAGCCAACGTGTGTTGCTCATCGCTAGGAGTTTTGGGCCATGGGCCTGTGCTAAGCAAACCGTGGTTTAAGAACAAATATATTGTTCTATGTCTTTGCAACTAGGATAGAACGCGGTTTTGAATGTGCTCAGTGCTTCTGTCCGTCCGTCTGTAACGATAACTCTGGACAAGATGATTCGATACGAATTAACTTGAAGTGCTATGTTGTGTTCATATTATAAGGTTTGAACCGTTTGAAAACCGGCCATGTAGCAGTGATTCATCTTCTGGGTTCTTTCGGTAAAGTCACGTAGAATGGAGATACAATAATAATAAAAATAATAATAACAGAAACAGGACTGTCCGGAAGACAACGCTGTCTTCCGGACAGTCCTGTTTCTTCACCTGAGGAAGGCTACTTGTGTTGTGGCCGAAACGTCGTGAGAATTTTATTCTGTTATTATTATTTTTATTATTTTATCTCCATTCCACGTGACTTTACCGAAAGAACCCAGAAGATGAATCCCTGCAGTCACGAAAGCTTTAAATCGAATGTAGCAGTGAATTGACGAAAGGGCTGTGCATACAGGGTGGCGCAGTGGTAAGACTTGTGCCTCATAACCAAGAAGTGTCTGGGTTCGATTCCCAACTCGGGAGTTTTTTTTAATGTGCAGTTTGTGCGTTCTCCCCCTGTTATGCAGAGTGTCTGAGTGCGTGAACAAGTGTATGAGTGTGTGAGCGTAACGCTGTGTGAAAGCTACCTGTCCTGTCGCTCCATATACGAATCTCCCAAGTCTCCCTTGTCTATGCTTGCGAAACGGGGACCCCTTTGTCGGAACATCTGCGCCGGTTTTACACATTCAGGCTGGCCTACATAGGGTTTAGCCAGACTGGTTTGTGTGAGAATCTCTAATTCCCTCGAAAGAAATGGACACAGTCCCATCAGTGAGCTCCTCCGTCAGGCGAGGCTACGTGGATTGGGTCACGTTGCCCGCATGCACAGACACTGCATGTTCTTTGGTTCTTTCGGTAAAGTCACGTAGAATGAGAATAGAACGATACAATAACACAATACAGTTCTCACGACGTTTCGGCCACAACGCAAGCGGCCATCTTCAGGTGAAAGGAACAGACCTGTCGGGACGACAGAGCTTCAATGAACGATGTTAAGATTCGTAGCGACTTTTAAGCTGGTTGGGAGAAGTGAGGCACCTTGACCAAGGGGTTTACATATCAAATAGCTGAGGGATTAGCTTGTGACTGGTCGCAGAATTGGCTATGTTAAAGTCAAAACCTACACATCCACAGAGGCAACTAGTAATTTAGCATTGAAATAGCTAAGGGATTAGCTTGTGACTGGTCACAGAAATAGATGTTAAAGTAAAGGCCTACACATCCACAGAGCTTCAATGAACGCTGTTAAGATTCGTAGCGACTTTAATCTGGTTGGGAGAAGTGAGGCACCTCACTTCACTGCATACCCAAGCAGATTCTGTTTGGTCGGATAAAGGGGGCTAAACGGGCGCGGCACGAGCTAGAGAAGAGATGGACTGATGTTGTACAGGAGGATGTGGAGCTGATTGGACTTTCAGCAAGATGACTGGTACCAGCTGTGTCAAGATCGCAGTCTGTGCAGGAGGCTCGTGAAGGACGCTACTGGGCAGTTGGCGGCAGTCGCCCTCCAACAACAACGGAGTGACGCTCACAACAACGAACGGAGCTTTGTCGGATAAAGTACAGCAAGTTGGCACAGTGGGGAGTACAGGTGGTACATCTCTTAGTCATGTCAGTGAATCAACCCATAACCCCTAGGTTTGTCCCATAACCTGTCAGCGAGCCTCGGCGCGCACCTAGCCTGGCACAAGCGTGGTGGTGACGTCACCGCCACTTAGTTGTTGTTGTGTATGTATTATGTTTTCCCCCTGTTCTGCATGGGTTGTCTCCGTGTTTCTCCGATTTCCACCCATAGCTAAACAATAGCATGCAATGTAACGGGTGTTGGTTAAATACCCACTCCAATGCTGACAATAAGCCCGCAAATGGCTCAACTTGATGACACAGACAGCAGCAGCAATATCGCCATCTACTGCGAACACGCGGCAGGACCCTCTTGAAAAAAAAAGAGTCGTGACACTCACTCACTGAGGATTTTTGGCCAAAAAAAGGGTAATTTTGATGCAGTCATGCGAACAAACATATGAAGGAAATAAGAGGGTTTTTTTTATTGTTAGATCGCGTAAATATATAAATGTGTCGTTAAAACCCGCCACCACCGGACACAGCCAACCAGTAAGGGTTGTCACGTAAACAGAACGTGGCCAATCGTCACTAGTATAGCACACCGGTGTGTTGAAGAGCCAAGCCACAACATTTACAATCGTAGGAAATATGAACTATAACTGTGGAGTTGCAATGCGTAAGAATGACCAGCAGGTGGCGTGAGTTTGCCTAGTGCATGGATGAGTCCGGGTGTGATGGATGGCGAGCCCTGAGTGATGGGGAAACGTGACACAGGTACCAACAACGTCTCACGCACGTGGCATGCGCGAGAGGTCGTTACTGCCGACACACAGAGGACACGACAGAGGTTAGCTATTGGTGTGTGTATGTGTGTAATGGTGTATGCGTGTCGGTCGACTCAGCCTCAAATGAGTACCTGGTGAGTGCGTGTAAACATCGCCACTTGGAAGACAAAGGCGGCCGGGCGTGGTGCTGGCCAGTGGCCACCCACCCTCTCGTGTGCCGAGCCGGCCATCATAGGTGCTCGCTAACAGTACTTGCTCCGAGTCTGTTAAGGCTACACGGGAGATTTTTTTAAATCTTTGTATACATGATATGTGTGATAGTGATGTTCACGATGCATTGCAATGTGTGGTAATGTACGATGGTGTGTGATGATGTGTGATGGTCAAACAAGATGTACCTGTATTATTTGTGATTTCTAATGATGCATGATCGTATGATGTAGTGTGTGTGTGATGATGTATGGAATTTGAGCGATGATGTCACTGATGATTATGAATAGCGATGATGATTGTGCTGTTTATCACATTTCATGATGGTTGTTTTGTGTTATCAATTATTACTAATGATGCAGTGCGTGAAAAGGTAAGACTGTTAATAAGTGTAAGGGCAAATTTCGATTTACAGCCTTCGTGACTGCAAGGATTCATCTTCTTTGGTTCTTTCGGTTAAGTCACGTAGAATGAGAATACAATAATAAATTGATAAAATAAAATAACACAATAATATTCTCACGACGTTTCGGCCACAACACAAGCGGCCTTCATCAGGTGAAGGGGACGAGACTGTCTGGAGGACAGCGCTGTGTGATGAAAACGTGATTCGGCATATAATAATGTTGGATTATGTAAAAACACATTGTATATATAGTGTAACGTGTGATGAAACGAAGCTATCGAGCGATGACACCCCTCACTGGTGATGCATGATTATCATTATCATCATGATTTACCCAGCAATGCCTCACTGAGTCTCGTGACTTTAAAGGAGGGTCCTGCCAAGTTTTCACAGGCGCGTGTGGGGGGGCGGCGATGGTAGTTAATGTATGAATCCAATTGAGTACTTTGCCACGATGTGTGTTGCCACATGTGATGATGTATGATGATGATGTATGATGATGATGCATAGCTACCCAGTAAACATGGGACGTGGGACCAACGTTGGGGCAACGATTCCAACCACACGCCAACGTTGACCCAACGACGGCCCAACGTTGACCCAACGATGGCCCAACGTTAATCCAACATTGACGCAACGTTGACACGTTTACTGGGCATTCTACGATCACGTCACTCGCCGATGACGAATGTCAACGTCGCTGTTATTTAATTGCGCGCTGAATAACGACGAATTGCTGCTCGACGCACGCGATGCCGTCGGCGTACATCGACGGGGACGATGCCTTGGGGGCCGTCCATAAATGACGTCACGCGATTTTGGCAGATTTTTTTACCCCCCCTCCCCCCCTCGTCACACGGCGTCACACGGCGTCACAAAAAGTCAGACCCCCCTCAAATATGACGTCACAAAGCTCTACCCCCTCCCCCCCCCAAAAATTATATTTTGAAAATAAAACATGCTTCAAATCACTTAAAACTATTGTCATTGTAGTGCGTATTTAATGTGGCGCTGAACTCTGATGTTGTAGGAGAAAACACGTATTAAAAAGGAGGCGTTGGAAAGCTGAAATTTAGCATAAAATTCACTTGAAAATATTCAACGTTTAACTAAAACTGTGGATGTTCAGAATATTATATAGATTTTTTTTAATAATTATAAAATATTAAGAGTAATTATAACTATAAAAAATACTTTAAACTTTGTAGTAGAACGAAGCAAAATGGAGAGTACAATTAGAACAATCACATTCATTTCACAGAATGAAAAGCCCTGGTAGAATCATTAGAATAAAAATGCTCAATAACAATCATTATTATTTTTTTACAAAACGTATGCTTCTCCATGGAGAAGCAAAATGCTCCTTCATGGCACTCATAAAAGGTGACCTTAGTAAAATGTAAATAACCAAATAGTAAAAATGTTAATTAATCAAAATCAGTGTTATAACAATTATATTCATTTAATATTTATTTAAAGTTGCGCATTTTTACGTGACGTCACATTTCTCAAACCCCCCCCTGCCCTCCTCGTCACACATCGTCACAAATGCCTGACCCCCCCCTCTCCCCCCCCACCTAGATGCGTGACGTCATTTATGGATTTATGGACGGCCCTTTGGCTGTTTGCTAAAGCTAATACACATTGGACCCCTCCTGGCCCTGGGGGACCCCTCCAGGTATTTGCCTAGCGCGGTGCCCTCTCTACTCGGTAGAATACGGTAGCAACCACCCCCCCTACCCCCACCACGCTGCACACGAGGGCGCGTCACGCGCAGGGCGTGCGGAGTCGGGGCAGCCACTTCCTTGGTTGAGCTGCGAGCCAAGTGGGGAGAAGTCTTCTTGGGTGCTTTGGTGGTGCTGGATTGTGGGGTGGTAGATTGTGGGGTGGTGGAGGGTAGGGAGGGAGGGGGGCCCCAGTGGCTGTGTGTGTGAGAGTTGTTGGCGGTGGTGCGAGTTCACGCGAGAGTGTGTTAGGTGGAGGGGGGTGGCAGTGTCTGCGTGTGTCTGAGTAAGTTGATTGCTGGTGCAGGCTGGGTGGGAGTCTGTCGTTAGTGGTGGGGAGAGTGCTTGTGGGGGGGGGGGGGGGGGGGGGGCTGTGAGTCGCTGGGGGTGTGGTGGTGGTTGGGGGGGGGCCCTATGAGTAGTCGGTGATCGTGGCGGTGGGGGGCAGTGGCTGTTTGTGAAAGGCAGTGGCCGAGGAGGTGTGGGTGGGGATGACAGTGGTTGTTTGAGGAGGTAGTAGTGGTGGGTGGGGGGGTGACAGTGGTTGTTTGAGGAGGTAGTAGTGGTGGGGGGGGGGGGGTGACAGTGGTTGTTTGAGGAGGTAGTAGTGGTGGGTGGGGGGGTGACAGTGGTTGTTTGAGGAGGTAGTAGTGGTGGGTGGGGGGGTGACTGGTTGTTTGAGGAGGTAGTAGTGGTGGGTGGGGGGGTGACAGTGGTTGTTTGAGGAGGTAGTAGTGGTGGGGGGGGGGGGTGACAGTGGTTGTTTGAGGAGGTAGTAGTGGTGGGTGGGGGGGTGACTGGTTGTTTGAGGAGGTAGTAGTGGTGGGTGGGGGGGTGACTGGTTGTTTGAGGAGGTAGTAGTGGTGGGTGGGGGGGTGACTGGTTGTTTGAGGAGGTAGTAGTGGTGGGGGGGGGGGTGACTGGTTGTTTGAGGAGGTAGTAGTGGTGGGGGGGGGGGGTGCGAGACGGTGGCTGTGTGTGAGAAGAGTGATCCCGGGGAATGTTCTTCTGGGGAGGGGGCGGCTCCCCCGCCCAACAGCAGCGAGGCGTGAACAGCGTGAGATTCAACCAGGATCACAGTGAGTACACACAGCACACGTGTGTGTGTGTACACACACACACACGTGTGTGTGTGGGTACACAGTACACCTGTGGGTGTGAATACACAGTACACCTGTGGGTGTGAATACACAGCACACGTGTGGGTGTGTACACAGTACACGTGTGGGTATACTGTACACAGTACACGTGTGGGTATACTGTACACAGTACACGTGTGGGTATACTGTACACAGTACACGTGAGTGTGTGCACACTGTACACGTGTGGGTATACTGTACACAGTACATGTGGTTATACCCCTCGTGTTCACATGCACATAATAGACAGTACACGTATAGCATAAAAAAAACAATGCGATACCCTAGTATGCACATGCGTACCAGAACGTACATATATACCCTAGCCTCTACATGTAGTGGTAATTAACATGTAATAGTTTATACAGAGCTCTGGCAATCTACTGCTGGATGAAGGCCTGTCCGTCCCGCGTCGGTCATGGGGGTTGTTTTGACCCACGCTGGGGGGGGTCCGTGCGACAAAGCCGAAGGGAGAGGCCCAGGACACGGGGTTTGTAGCGCAGTGCGCTAACCACAGCGCCACCGCTCCACGACCCTGCCCGTGTATCCGTGCAGCGCGTGTGTGTGTGGCGTGTGTGTGGCGCGTGTGTGTGGTGTGGTGTGTGTGGCGTGTGTGTGGTGTGGCGTGTGTGTGTGTGGTGTGTGTGTGTGGCGTGTGTGTGGTGTGTGTGTGTGTGTGGCGTGTGGTGTGTGTGGCGTGTGTGTCTGGCGTGTGTGTGTGTAGCGTATGTGTGTGTGTGTCTGGCGTGTGTGTGTGTAGCGTATGTGTCGATGATGCCTCAGACCCATCCTCACACACACAAACACTCCCAACCACAGTATGGATACGCGATGATGGTGGGCATGGTGATGGGGCTGACGATGGTAATTGATGATTGTGATGGCGTTGGGAATTCTGACGTTTGTGATGATTGCTGGTTGTGACGGTTATGCTGACGGCAGTGATGATGGTACAGTAATGGTGGTGTGTCTTGCTGTGTCATGATGTTATGGGTCTGTGGCACGCTTCGCCGAGTACCGTAGTCGACCGAGTAAACGAGAAACGACCTCCGCTCTCGTCATGAAACCACCGGTTCCCTTATTCAGCAATGCCGGGGAACTTCCCCTATCGGACACTGTGGCTTGGCAGCTGACTGTCGCTGTTGTCTTTCTATTGTCCTTCTGTTGTCAAGGTCTCTTCTGCTGCGCAATGGAGACCGGAGTAAAGGTTTTCAATGTGGACCCACTGGCACAGAAGGCACATATCGGTGAGAGAGAAGGGGAGTTGTTTGAGATCCAGCCAATGATGGGATTGCTCTTGCAAACCCCCTCGCCGACCTGCACATGTTCACCCCCCTCTTCACCCCCTCCGACAATTAAATGCAAAATTTTTATGCTAATTCCTTTGTCAAGGCACCTTAATTCCTCTCACACAAGCTTAAAGGTCGCGGTCTGAGCTTGGCTGTGTTCACTCCAGCGCTGTCCTCGAGACAGTCTGGTCCCTTCACCTGATGAAGGCCGCTTGTGTTGTGGCCGAAACGTGGTGATTTTTGTTGTTTTATTTTTTTACCTACGTTACTTTACCGAATAGAACCAAAGAGTATGGATCCTTGCAGTCACGACAGCTTTAAATCTAGAACAGTCACAAACACCTCGTGAAAGACTCAACGCAGATCCCCGGCTTCGATCTTCGATAATCGAACCAAACATTAAACTAATTTTCAATGGTACAGTATATTTTTCAAGTAGTGGTACCCCAAACTTTCGCAGCTCTTAAAAATCCCCTTTTCACACCATCAATAGATAAACTCCCCTTCCCCCCCCCCCCCCCCGCGCCAACCGGCATGTTCACCCGCACGTACACCACCTCTATGCTAAGTCGGCCAATCAAATGCTAATTTTTATGCTAATTTGTTTGTGACTTTACAAGCTTCATCAGGGTTGAAGTACAGCACATCAAAGGACTTCGCTTCACTGCCGCCACAAAAACGATCTCAGAATTTCGCATCCCTTAATGAACGAGCGTAGAGAATGAGCGCCGCGCGTGACGCGCCGCGATGTTTGAGTTCGCGCGCCTCTTTGCCGGGCGGTCGCTCCACCGTCGCAGACCAGGAGCAGGTGGGCAGCGTGGGGCTCGCCGAGGTGCTGCGGCGCTCAAACCTCATCGCAATCGTCGGGGGCGGCAGCCTGCCACGCTTCGCCGAAAACTCCGGTGCGAACACCCCGACCGCCACTACCGACATGGCCACGCCGCTGCCTCCACCACCAGCAACACCACAAACGTGGCCCACCATCTTTACCACCACACCACCACCACCACCACGAATACCAACGTGGCATCACCACAGCCCCCACCATCGATATTTCTCACACCCGATTTGGACATTGCCACCACCATCACCGTCGCCGATACCAACGTGGTCACAGATGCTGCTGTCGCTACCGCCACTGCTTGCCACCGTGGCCACCGACACCAACGTTGAAACAACCACCGCTACACCACCGTGGCCAATATGGGCCCCGCCACCACCACCACCACCACCACTGACACACGCCGCCATCGTGAACGTCACTGACCACCACCGTCAAGTACCACTGACAAAACAACACGAGCTTTAACACGTGTGCCAGCACCACTGCCATAACCATCAATGCCATTGACACCAACATGGAAGCCACCACTGCCACCACCGATGCAGCTACCCACAACTTGTCCATGGGCGTGCGATCTTTGTGCCGCCAGTGCTGATCTGGGACGACGCGCGTGGCGGGACCCCCGAGCAGGACAAACTCGTGCTGGACTTCACCTTCACGCAGCCCGTGCTGGCTGTGCGCATGCGCCACGACGCGTGAGCCCTCCCCCACCCCACTCCTTCCCCAACCCTCCCGAACAATTTGCGACTTGACAATCGTGGTAATGAATCACATCGCTGGGGTGAGACGGGGCGATTCGTTGCACCCCGGGTGGAACGCGGGATGTCGCACGATGTGCGGTCTGTGCTGGCGACACGCCGCTAACCGCTGTCAGCTGCTCGCCCCTCGTAATCGCTTGGGTGTCGAGTTATTCCCGAGCGAGGGATTTCACAGGAAAGGTTCACGTGTGAAAATAGCGAGCGGGGGAGGAAGTGCGGGGGGGGGGGGGGGGGGGGGGGGGGGGGGAGGAGGAGGGTGAACACATTGTCAGTGACATCTCGAGAAGAGACGCTGGTCCTGTTGCCAACGAAAAGGATGTCGCCGGTTGATTTTTTTCATGAATTCAAAGTAATGGGGGCCTTGGGCAGGACACGTTGCTTGAAGAAATAATGATGATGACCGATGACCGAGAATAGTGATGGAGCGGCAGCCGAGGTAGCGAACGCGTTCGGGACGGCGTGCAGCACTCGCGCAGTTTCGCGAGGTATCTCTCATCGTGCGCTCGTCTTGATGGGCCAGGCGATGTCCGCTTACCGTCGGTACCCGGGCCTGTCCCGCAAAGCTAGCGATCCAGCCTAGCGGATCGCCACTCCTCAATTAATCTTGGTCACCTGCCAGACCAATAACCCGGGAGGAGTGCGCCAACCCTTGGACTTTTAAGCGATTGGAGCCGGCACTGCGAGTTTGTCAACTCGACGTTGTTGAGGGTCCGTCATCTGCCAAGCGCAGCCTAAATCGGCGAGCATTGTGAGGTTAAGAAGCAATAAGGTTCAAAGTAGATTTTTGGATCAGATTGCTGCGTAAGTAAAACATGTCTCGAAAACCCCTCCTGCATCCGACAAAGCCAATTAATAAAGTCATAAAAAAAAAACTTGCTCACTAATTACTGATGACGACCGTTTGTGTTATGGTCGAAACGTGATAATTTTTATTGTTTTATATATATTTTATTATTTTATTGTTTCCCTTCAACGTGACTTTACCGAAAGAGCTAAGAATAACACTAATTACTGCTTTAGCAGCACCACTGGCGGTGCTGGAGAGCGATCCACACACATTTAACGATTTAGTTTGACGTCCCTTGTAGTTACAACCAACATCATCAGCACGCAGTTGCCATAAATCTGAAGCTTCGCATCGATACCTTTAAAGTTTGTAATAATAATACCAAAATCTATACAGTTAGAAAAAACTCACATCTATACTTTTTTTTTCATTTGCAGAATATCGGTTGTGCTCCGGAGAAAGATCCACGTTTTCTCCTTCCCAGACAATCCCCGGGAAACCTCACAATTTGACACAAGGGACAATCCACTGGGTGAGGATACATGTTGAAGTATGGTGAAACCCTAACCCGCCCAAGACCTGCACGGCGCGGGGTGTACCTCAAACAGCAGTGGATTGACGCGAACGCCGAGCTCGCGTACGCAATGCCATCACCCTGAATGCGCCTGATCTGTTCGACAGATCTCGGAAGCTAAGCAGAACTGAGCCTGGATAGTACCTGGCCACCAAGTAATAAAGCAGGTGCTAGAGGCTGCTACAGGGCTACGTGGTGGGCAGCACAGGGTAGTGCAACAAATTCCACTGTTGTACTGCACTATGCTAACACATCTGTTCATTGCCTTCACCAATCCGCACTGACCATCGCGGTAAAGTATCGTCAAACAGCTCTCCCCCTTAACCAACATGGTATGGGGATGCTTACAAATCCAGCAGGTCCACTGACAATGGGATTGAAATAATATTACAATTATTAATACGTGTTGTAAACGAATTCACTACTTTGTTTTGATTCTTGTTTACATGAATACTTACTCCACCTTCTGTGTGTGCGGTAGGGAGTGCCGGAGTAGCGGTTAGCACACTGCGGTGTGAACCCGGCCGACTCAAGTTCAGTTTCCACTCGCGACCAATAACAGTGGCGAATATTTGACCTGATTCCAGGGACTCCCCTGGGTCGACTCGGCTTTAAATGAGTGTGGTTGCGGTGAATAGACAAAGGCGGCCGGGCGTGGTGTTGATCACCCACCTCCTCGTGTACCGTACCGGCCTACATAGGTGCTCGCTAATGGCACTTACCCCAACTGTCCGTTAAACTCTATGCGGGGGATCTTTGTCTTTGTGTGTGCAGGCCTGTGCGAGCTGTCTACGTCACTCGAGCGGAGTCTGCTCGTGTTCCCCGGGCTCAAGAGTGGCTTCCTGCAGATGGTGGTACAGCGAGCCACTCACGCACGCACGCACGCGCACGCCTACGTGTATATATGTTGAACTTCTTTCGCACCATACATAGCCAACCGTGTGAATCGGAGGTGCGGGGGGAGGACAACAAACAAACAACGGCGACAACGGCGATTAATATCGATTGTCGCGCTCGCAAGACGCGCATCAGTTTGCGTGCACGTATCGATGTTTTTTATTTTAACATTTGTGCAGTCGTGTTGTTTGTTAATAGCTTTGCGTGACCCCCCCCCTCTGCAGCCACTATAGGCCGCTACATTCACTACAAAAAGTAAAAATCAGTTCTTGAATGGAAATACAACACTTTGAATCGTTAAGAAGTGGCACTTTTGCCAAATGTGGTGAAACATGGGTTTGGTGTACACCAATTCATTGGTGACCATGCAGAGGCCATCAACTCGCTACACTTTCAGAACCCGGTTTAACCGCTGGGGGCCAAAACTTGGCTTTAAACCCCCTGAACCTGCCTGGACATTGTTGTGTGGGAGGAAACGAGCAGAGCACCTGGGGAACCATAATCGAGGTCTTTTTGTGCCAGTCCATTGTGTCGTTGTGTTATTGTGCACTCGTGTGCGTGTGTGTGGGCGGTTAGAGCGGTAGTGCAGCGGTTAGTGCTCTGTGCTGCAAACTCGGTGACCCGAGTTTGATTCCCGCTCGCAGCCAAGACCAGTGACGAATATCTGGACCGGTTCTGGTCCTCCCCTAGGTCAACTTAGCCTCAAATGAGTAGTTGGTACAATGTGTAAACATGGCCACTTGGGAGACAGAAGCGGCTGGCCGTGGTTCTGGCCACCCCACAACCTCGTGTGCCATGCCGGCCTTCATGGGTGCTACTCGGTTAACAGCACTTGCCCCAAAATTCTGTTAAAGGCTAAACGGTCGCTCTTGGTCTCAGTGCAGTTACCACAATGCTGTGTTGTGAATGTCCCAGGATATTTCTGCTCTGAAGGGAGCCCCAAAGCGACCTGGCCTGGGGCCCAACGAGAGCGGTGTGACGGTGAAAGCCCACGAGAGTGGGCTGGCGTGCATCGCGCTCGACTCCACGGCCAGCAGGGTGGCCACCGCCTCTCACAAGGTGCTCCACCGGACAACCGCACAGCACCGCACAGCACAGCAACCGTAGCACGGTTGGCTACGTGTGGTTTTGAAAGACGTTCGACATACATGCCGCACCGCTCCCCCGACCACCGGGTATTCACCGTGCATACTCGCCGTTCGTTGATGGTCACACGTCGCTACTGCTTCTGCGCTAGCGGAATTTTCCGCGGTGTAACGGTGAGCAGCGCACTGCCGGTTCGAGTCCATCTCCCGGCGTGGCAGTTGAAACATTGGAGCGGGTTTCTTAAATCTACCCCCCCCCCCCCCGCATCTTCCCCACCTCTGTCCATCCAGCAGTATAAATGGGTAGGCCTCCGTTGATTGGCAGGTTGTGTCCGGTGGGGATAAAATGTGGGTTACTCCCACCTCTTCAAGGACATCTGACCAATGTTGAAAAGTTGGCCAAAAATACCCTCCAGAGTTTCAAGTGCAGACACTTCTTCTGTCAGCAGTGGTGTGAGCAAGCAATTGCAGGGCTGTGTCTTTACCAATTTACTACAAGTACTGTACAGCCCTTCATCAATTCATGTTGGTCGTAGGGGTTGTATCACCATACGTCACCACACTGGTCAGAGCAGGACGGTGAAGGGAATGCCCAGTCTGGTTGGATATTGCTTGCCACTGATGTTAGCCATGGCTGGCATTCATGTTCATAGTGCAGTGTGCTAACTACTGCGCCACCGCTCCCTCCCGCCACCACAACCACTGTTACATGCTAATCACCATCATAATGATTATCACAATCATAGTCATCATGTATGTATGTATGTTGAACTTCTTTCACACCGTACATAGCCAACCATGCTATGTACGCTATGAAAGAGACAACAAACTGTCCAAGATGTTGGGGAAGAAAGGGTGATGATGATGAGAGGTGTGGGAAGAGAGGGAGAAGATAGGAGGAAGGAGCGAGAAGAAGTGAGCTGCACGGAGGAGGCGTCTGTTTTCACAGCGGGCGGCGGGGAGAGGGGAGGGATTCGGAGTGGGGGTGGCCACGCAGAAGTCACGTGATTTACGGGAGGCTCGAGCTGATTTTGATGTCGAGATGTGTGCGATACTCTGGCAGGGAACGCTGATCCGTATCTACGACACGACAAACGGCGACAGAACCATGGAGCTCAGGAGAGGCGCCGACTCGGCTCAACTCTACTGGCAAGCGACTGACGATTTCACGCGCGTTTACCGTCGTGCACGCCTACACGTGTGCATGTACACCCGGACGCAATTCGCCCCTAAGTTCGGGCGATGTCACCACGGCGCTTGTGCCTGGCTAGGTGCACTTTGAGGCCACGTGAAGTGTTGAAGGCTCGCTGACAGAAGGCCACTGGACAGACCCAGCTGTTACGGGTTAACTGACTGAGATGATCGGCAGGTGCACCAGCTGGGCTCCCCACTGTGCCGCCTCGCTGTGTTTTATTCGCCCGGGGCTCCGCTCGTTGTTGTGAACGTTGCTCTTCTGCTCTTTGTTGTTGGAGGGCGACTGCCTCCAACTGCCCAGTAGCAGCGTCCTTCCCGAGATTCCTCCACAGAGGCCGATTTTGACACCGCTGGTACCAGTCATCTGCAAGTCCATTCGGCTTCACGTCCTCCTGTACCACATCAGCCTATCTCTTTTGTAGCCCATGCCATGCCCGTTTAGCACCCTCTATCTGGCCAAGCAGAAGCTGCTTGGGCATGTGGGCTACATGACCTGACCAATGCAGCCTCACTTGTCGAAGGAGCTCACTGATACTTACAAAGAGGGAAATTATTTTTGCACGTAGTTAAACAAGACGTAAGATAATGCCGGAGCCGGAGGACATCCCTATCACTCCCGACGGTGTACAGGCAATGGCTCCGACTCCTGGCGCCGCAGTTTTACCTGGACCTGCCCACCATCATGAAGGTCCTTAATGAATGTGAGCAGAGGATGAGGGACTCCAAAAGCATGCATAATAGATCGCTGGTATATTCATGATATAGGCATTGACCAGGTTGATAAAGCAGAGATATGTCCTGTTGACTCTTCCTACATCTCTGCTGCAGTAGACCTCTCTGGCTTCTCTATGCGCTGGGAAGGAAGGGCCTATGGGCTTGTTCTCTTCAAGGCCACAGTGTTATGGACGAATGTGTCGAGTTTTGTTTTTGTCGTTGTTGATTTACGTAAACCGAATAAGGAAGCTTGCTGGTGGGGTTTGAAATGAGAATTCTCTCTCACCCGTGGCTTCTTTTGCAGCATCAACTTCAGCCAGGATGCGTCCTTCCTGTGCGCGTCCAGCGACAAGGGCACGGTGCACATCTTCGCGCTGAAACAGACCAAACTGAACCGTCGCTCCGCGTGAGTGACTCTCCTTAGAACTTGGGAGTTGGGTTGGTGCCCCGTCGCAGACTCTTTCCGGCGGCGTTGGCCATCTTCAGCGTCTCTCGCAGACACTTTGTCCGAGTTCACCACGATGTGAGGAAAGGCCTTTGGATCTGCGGATCCAGAGGTCATCGGTTCGATTCCATCTCCCGGCGCGGCAGTCGAAGCAATGGGGGCGAGTTTCTTAAATATTACTAACCGACTCCCCCCACCCCGCCGGCCCACCCCTGGTCTTGCCGTGTGCCGCAGGCTAGCCCGCGTGGGCCGCAAGGTTAGCCCGGCGCTGGGAGAGTACGCCGAGTCACAGTGGAGCCTCGCGAGCTTCACCGTGCCTGCCGAGACGGCGTGCGCCTGCGCTTTCGGCAAGGGCAACTCCATCATCGGTAAGCGGACTCGTTCATCGGAAAGCTAATTCAGTGATGGGTAAGTTCACTTAGTCGTCAATAATATGATCCGGTGGCCGATAAGCAGACTCGGTGACCGGTAAGCCAGCACATGGGCACGGGGTGCACAGTAAAGGTGGACGCAATACCAAAAGTTAAATAGGCGTTCATATCTACCCCGAGAGAGATTTTTTATGGATAAGCTGCAATTTTATTTGTCAAGCCAATTGAATATCATTTGTTGGTGGAAGGCCATTCGGGTAACAAGTGAATACTTCTTTCAGACAAGTGCACAGCCATTGCAGGATATCTGCTTTGGCATCATATAAACACTTTACTGACTCACGTACAAATTTTTTACCACCTTTTTTGCGCGAGTCAAACTCAACGTAAACGAGACCCGGAATGCCAAATCACAGAGCGAACCTCCGACAAATGCATGCTGACCTCACGCTTTCATTCCCACCCCCCCCCCCCCACCGAGAGCTTTCGTTATGCAACGGTGTCCATGCTGCATGTGACGCATGTTTGCCACCGCCTCGGAAATACCCAGACTGCTTTGTGCAGCTCTGACGTCACTTCAGCAGCGTTGTTGCTAAGATGTTGACGTTACCAATTCCATCAAAATGTCATCGTCAATCTGGCTTTTCACAGTTTATCCAGAACAATAGCAACAGGTTTCACCTTAAAGTTGCCTTGCAGAAACAAAACGAGGCTGCGTCAGGACATTTCTAAACGCACGACTCTTATAAACTAGGTGATCGCTCGTGTGCAAAGTGCACACCTCATTAGCCCTATTTACAGCTGTTCGGTCTTGGATGATTTTTTACAGAACTGCCGTTTGTCCCAAACCGTCCCATCAACTGAAGTTTGCAACTTCCCGAATCCGACAACAATACTTTTAAAGTCACGACCATAACTTCCAGCATGATGCGTAGAGCGATTCACCCATTTGTCGGCGATTTTATGAATCGTCACGGGTCGGGCTCGCGATTCAACTCGAGGAACTCGTGCAGAGGGGGATATGTGCAAAAGGGACTAGGCAGGCTCCGGTGTGGGAGGCCCCAGAGGGGTAGGGCCAGTGCCGGATTATCCGAGTAGCATATGCTACAGGCCCCACACGAAATGCCTTCAAAACTTTTATGAACGACTGGGTGTTTAAGTTTAGCGATTTGTCCTATTATCTGGCTGTATAGCAAATGAAAAAGTACAATTATTTTACTATGCAAGTAAAAAAAAATATTTTAATATTTATGTGTTTTTTTTTTTATTTAGGGCCCCCTTATAACATATGCTACAGGCCCCGCACTTATCTTCATCCGGCACTGGGTAGGACAATGGGCGATGGGGGGGGGGAGCGGTGGTCCGAGTTGACAAGGCGAAGGGCAAGGTTGCGATGTTCGTGCACACGACACATGGATGGTTAACCCAGTGACCGTGGCTTTGTGCCCCCGAGGACCAGATGAATAAAACATGTCATTTCTGCAATGTCACATTAATATTTGATGTGAAACAAATCCTTCTGAGACCGTGCTAAATAATTAAGTGATTTTGGTTGGCCAGTGTAGCCCAAGTGAATCGCATCGCCGGAGCCATTGTATCCTTTCTGGTTAAAGTTGAATAGAATTTACTCCAAATTACATGAAAATACTACTAATTAATTACCCATGAGAGCCTCGCTTGAGTAGCCTCAAAACTGTTTATTTTCTCAGCAGGCTCCTGCAATAGGAGGTTTGGTCAGTTTCACGGGCATTTGCAGTGTCGCAGGTAACTGGAGAAATCCCACCGCGCGTACGAGGGGGGGCGACTCTCAACGTTCATAGCCGCGCGCGCTAATCACTGTGCCACCACTCCCAACCCCTTTGTTCTTTCCCGAGCTGGATTTGTTTTGACCGATGATGAAATCACGCTTGGTCCATTTCCATTGGTTAAACTACCACGTGGGCACACATTGCATTATGTGGTTAAGGGACTATTGTAGTTTAACTGGAACCGTTAAAATATTTTTTCTGCCACCAACTACCCCGTTCCAGATTTTGTAACCCGATAAGTAAACCTCGGTGGCTGGAATGTGCTGAACTGCATGAAGTGATGTGCCATCTAAAAAACACCGCTGAGGGTGCCATTGGAAAATCCACCTTGGCTCCTCCCTGTTCCGAGTCGCAGCACGTGAACCCGAGCGGGGGGAGCGCGATGCGACCCGGTGAAGATGGGGAGGGAGTTGTAGCCAGCGACCTGGCCCAACAGGCATTGATCCTCGGTAGTACAGTGGTACCTCGGTATACGTCGTTAATTCGTTCCAGAAGGTAGGAGGACTTATACCGGAAGTGACGTAAATACCAAACGAATTTTTCCCATAAGAAATAAAGGGAAAGGAAATAATCCGTTCCAGAGTATAAGAAATTATATTTTATATGGCGCATTATACATTAATGTGGTTGTATAACGTGTAGACACTACTTATTACTAAAATGCATAATTAAATTACAATAGCAAAAGGTTGTGCACTGAACGAGATCGACTGTACAGGCAGACCGAGGAGCGGCACTTTGTTTCAGTCGTGAACGGGGGTCTACGCGGGGACGCGGTGACTCATCCCGACCCATACAAGTTCTAGCAAGCGCGGCGTATCCCAAGAAATGTCTTTCTCGTCAAAACACGACGTATACCAAATTCGACATATATCGAGGTATGACTGTATTTGAAAATTAAGTCATGGTAGCTCTTGCACCAGGTGCACGGCGCGTCCGTAGGCTACTGCCGGGGAGGTGTGCGGGAAACGCTTTGATTGCTCTGGCCGGTTTTCTGTCTAGGGCGAGTCTCTGATAGCGATGCAACTCTGTAGTCAAGTTTCATTAATGTTTAAAGATATCGACCGTAGTTTGGGAGAGCATCAATAATAGTTTTGTTTAAAACGGGAAGGAGTAATCTGTACGTCTTGCGCTGTGCAGCTGTGTGCCTGGACGGGACATTTCACAAATACGTCTTCACGCTCGAGGGCAGCTGCAAGAGGGAAGCCTTTGATGTCTACCTGGACCTGGAGAATGATGATTTCTAACTTACCGCTCCCCTGCCTACCCGCCCGCCCGCCCGCCCATCCTCCGCCTGGCTTCCCTGAACTGAGCCTTGGAAACACCTTCACAGGCTGAACTTGCTGAGTAGAAACGATGATGGAATTCAAGCACTGCGCACGGCGAAATTAATTTTTCTAAGAAACCTGAGCAAGCGGTTTGGAAACGCGGAAGCCTTTCGTTAGGCGACTGCGTGCTGCTTATGTTGCCGGCATGCCCGGGGTGGGGTTTGGGTGTGCATGGACGGGTAGAACCTCGTTTGGAGCCTCCAAGTAAAATTGCTGCAAGGAATGACGGACTGCAGTGAGATGCCGACGAGGCTGTGACTTAATTTACAAGAGTGGGGCAACTGTTTGCCAGTTCTCACGGCCCGAATTTGATAGTTGTCTGCATTTTTCAGCGTCTTGACATTGCGAGTGGCATTTAGATGTTCTGCAAGTCTAAATTTGGAATGTAATTGAATTGTTAAATATAAACACATGCTTTGTAGGTGAATTTGTAAAATAAGTGGACTCTCCTGTGGTTGATTAAATTACATAAATAAAATACTGTAACCACCGCTTAATTCCAGCCGCAACAGTTACATGGCACATCCACCCTATGCAGAAGTTACGTGAATATAGGGTACAATTGTCTACGTTTATAATAGTTAGGCATATGCTGCTCTCGTGGTAGTGCTGTTATGCCGATAATCCCTTTAAGCCGGCCTAGCAGCGTTCCAGAAAGCAGTGAGAACGCGAGCCCCGATTATAACGTTTGGCCTGGGTGGGGGTGCCTCGCGGCAAAGAATGGGACAATTTTATTCAACTCGGACAAACGTTGGCTTAAAATTTTTTAATCACGAGTCGTAGGAAATTAGAAGCACTCAATTATGCATTATTTCAAGATGGATCGTATCCAGCAGTTGGGACATTGATTTCTTCTGAAATATGTAGATGTATTTTATAAAAACAAAAAAAACCGTGATACTGTTACAATGCCAAGGAGATGGTTGTTCTGGTCAGTCTGCTGATCTATTCGGGGTGAGTCAGGGCTGGTGTGTTTTGTGGATGTTCGTAGCGATGGGTGTTCTCGTCACCATGGGTAAATACAAACTACTGGAGTTATGTAATGTAGATACGAATTAGCGACTACTTTTGAGGTGTAATTTAGATATAGGTTACGAACGTTACGCAAATGCATATTTAATGGAGTGGTAACGCGACCGAGTGGTAGCATGTTTGTAACTGGTCGATGTTTGAGCCTGGCGGCCACGCTGATGAAACACTGCGAGTGCGCGAGCCAAAAATACGAGGTGCTGTCCCCCTTTGCTTCCAAGTGGACGTTAAATAGCCTGCGACGTCATTTGAAAAAAAAATTTGGCCATGTGTGGCTGGTGTCACTGTCCGAATACGAAACGTTACTCAATTTATTGAATGGGAACAGCCAATAGCAACATCGCCTACCTCCCCTTTTAGGTTGGTGCTGTTCACATTGTGCTGCACAGGGGGCTTGGCTGCCCATGACACCTCGCTTACAACAATGGCCTTGCAGGAAAGGGATCGTCAAGAGGGGCATTGCCGGTTACAGCCCAATAATTGACCGCAATTAATGCCTCCGCAGTGTCTTGCAATAATAAAAAAACTGGCCAGCAGACTCGCTTTCCACAATGCGATAGCATGACATTGTGCACTATCGTTGATATTTTCTTTGTATATATTTGCATTAGATTTAAAAACTGATTCCTTATTCCTCGGGTGTATTTAAGTTGTAGATTCGCTAAAATTATATTTTGGTGTAAATCACATGCCGACAAACAAGGTTTGCCATTCACCACCAAGTTGTGGTGACCTTGCCACAGAATGCTTGTGCCAGACGAGTTTGCACTTTGAGCCATGTTCAGTGGCAAAGGCTCTGCTTGCAGGAAACGACACACAAATGTTAACACAGCACTCGAGGTGTAACAATACATGAATAAAATATTGATTCTTACACTCACGATAAATGCATCGAACTGCACGTTTTAGAATGTTTCTCTCCCCCCCCCCCCATTTTTACATTGTACATAATACATTAGGGCGATGAAAATGGATTTTTGAAATCGAATCGTTACCCTGAATCTCAACAAGTCATTGGGTGCGGGAAATCATTCTACCACAAACCCAGCTTCCACCAGCTAAGCTTCTGAGATGCAATGAGATTAGGCTGATTAAAGGTGAATTTATCTCTGATAAATATCTCCCCAGAGATTAATTTGAATTATGGCAGGGGTAGCACCACAGTGGTGAGATGTTAACTACCTCACTTGGTATAGAGGTTGTGGGTTTGATCCCAACCCTGATGCCTGTATATTTGGAGTTTGCATGTTCTCCCAGTGCTCGCGTGGATTTTTCTCTGGGTTTTCCCTCATTTAGAATCAACGTGCGTTTAGAGTAACTGGCTGCTTTAAATTTACACAAGCCACTTTGAGCTATCATTCGTCACCAGGTCACTTATGGAAAAATAGCTGTGGGCCTTACCTAGTAAAAAAGTTTGGTTTTAAATAGTTCATAATCTTTACACCTCTTAATACACACCGCACATGCATATTCATATATACAGCATGGTTGCCATGAGCTGTGTAATTTACGACCCCCCACCGCCTTGTAGACTGGCGCCTGCCCAGCCCAGGAGCCCATGCACTTGACAGTCAAACCACTGGGCTGCCGCTGTTCTTGATTTGCAAACAAAACGACAACTGTGCAAGGGGGTTGGAGGGCACCCCGTGACTCTGCTTATACAGCGTCAGTGCCACCCCTGCGGGCGAGTAGAGTGCCGGATGGTGTTCCTCGTGCCACGATCTCATCGCACGCCATCGGGCCACACAAAATCACTATGCAGATCAAGGAACATTGTAGCTTCGCTTTAAACAGTTGGGTGCTGGGTTGTTTTTGCCATTCGTAACGGATGAAAGGCCTTTCATTATGTTGTACTAGGAGCATCGGCTTGTATTTCTGGATACGAAGGACCGTGTTGTAAGCAATTTTTTTTAAACTCTAGTCATCACTGACATGTCTGATAACGTAAAAGGATCATACGCTGATTTGTTTGGCTAGGACTTATTTAGTACCGATTTGTTTTGTGGTAATGGTGAGTTCCATCACGAGATTGATGTACAGCCACAAGAGAGTGGCTTGGGATGCTATCAGTGGATAGATCATGGCTGTTAAGTTGTGTGCTTATACCCCCATCATACAATTACCTTTTCTCCAATCACAACATATAAATGCATGCATTCACTCACACAAACATAAGCACACAATTTACTGGATATTTACCCAAGTGCCAAAATATTGTACTACATTTTTAATGCGTGTAATAATTTTAAAATGGAACACATTCCAATGAGTGCACTGAAACTATGAATTATATCTATTTCTGTAACGTGTATGACTGTATAAATTAAAAAAAATGTGCTGTATCTTGAGTGAGCCTTTGTTCAATTCTGCCGGCAGCCTGCCACAAGAGGCACAGCAAGGCCAATCGGCTGGCTGAGAGGGTAGACAACTGAACTTTTAAGTCTGGATGTCCCATCAGTGACGATATAAACAGCGGTTTCGTAAACTGGGTCATGTGAATGACTCGTGGGCAACTTGGCAGCTCTGGGGTTGGGTGCAAGGAATCAAGAATGAGAAACGCACAATGGCGTAGAAGAGAGGTGGCAGAAACCTCTTAAAAGCGACAGCTGAAGAGAACTTTTCAAATATGTGATGATGAGCAACCACTCATCTCAGGCCACTTCCGTCACTCAGAGAGACCCTTGTTTTGTGGGAATGGACGCAAGTGAGCGAGCGCGCTAAAAAAAAATCTGAAACAGACCCTGCCTAAGGCAAAAGTATTCACTTCTGGTACATGATTCATATAGCCAAGACCGCATGCAGCGACGGGTAAATATTTCTAGCGGGCCGTGGGGAAGTGGTAAGCTCCAAGTGGACCGTATGAAATTAAGTAATGTTGGCAGATACGGCCCCCGCGGGTCCTCAGTTCCTGACCCCCCCCCCCCTGCTATTGTACTCTTTTTAACAAGTGCTCCAGGTTGGCAGCTTCACGCAACTGGAGTCTGATCTCTCAAAAGTGTTTTTATTCAAAATAGCACAAACAGCACTGTTTTGGCAGAAACTTACGATGCAGTATAGCCTTTTTACAATGCAGCAACAACCGGAGAACTAGAGGTTAGGGGTCGCAGGGATGCAACTAACGGCCAATATCCGTTACATTCAAATGAACTGGTCTCTCAGCTAAAGGGTACCTACCATTTCAGAATTGAAAAAAAATAACAAAAACGCCACGAGCTACTGGTAACATGCCATCCTGCCAGAGTGAATCGACGGGCAGTTATCACACGTTTATATTAAACTTTTTAAAAGGTAAATGTACACACTGAATATCTTACAAAATCAGCCCCCATTTGGTTACCTGTCCTCACTGATCCGTCGCAAACTTTTGACAGCTCTACTTGCCCAGAATTCCAGAAATTCAGTTGTCATTTCTCTGTCTCTCTTTAATGATTTCCTCAACCTCTCGCTTTCACATTAAAAACACAAATGATTACAGCAGGTTCTTAAACACATGCGTTCTTGCACCTCTGGTGCCTACACAACAACAGCTGTAAACGTGGGGGGTGGGTGGGGAGCTGCAGAAACAAAGCAAAGGAAAGTTTTACAAAAACGAAAAAAGGAAGGAAGAAAGAACATATGCTCAGTAACATTACAACTATAACTCACCTGGCCGAACACTCACGGATGAACACTTTTACTGAAAAAAGGAACAGGATGCAACTTAACAAACGTGCCGGACGCTGAAGAAATCGGCAAATCGATAAGTGCGGGAGGCATCACCAGTTCCAATTTGATTAGCGGCTGCATTTTTATTATTATCAACCCTGTTGTGTTGTATTTAATTAAATTTTAAACCCTAAACTCTGGAATTAAAAATCTAATGTGTAATTCCATTACAGGTGATTGGAATACAAAAATGAGACTGGTTAAGGCGCATCTAAATTCAAAACCCGACTCAAAACTTCCACTTAAAAGTAATGATCTTGTCACGTCCCTCGAGACGATACAAAGTTATATTTTGAAAGTCAGACGCATGGATGCCAAGTGCTTTTTTTTCCTTTTTTGTTTCGTTTCTTTTTAAGGTTTTTTTTAAACAGTTTTTATTTTTTTTGTTTCTCGGTACGATCACTAAGTATACAACACACCTACCCTATATATACAGTCTCCTGTGAGTAGTCCAAACCATTAGGATCTAACAGGCGTAAATTACGACGGTCCTTTCGATGCGTTAATAAAGACCCGAAATCCATGACTATACATTACACTAATCAAAATCACAGAGTACATTGGGGGGGGGAGGGCGGGGAAATATACAGTGAATGTATAAAAAAAAGCCAAAAAAGAAAAAAAAGACAATGTAAGTTCTTGGGACGAAATAGAAAATAAACAAAATTAATAATAAGCAAAAGGGTAACATAACGGCTAAAGCTTGGCAATAGAACACTTTTTTTATTGATAAAATAAACTCATATGCTTTTAAAAAACTACGCCGACGTTTTTAAAAACTTCAATTTTGGTAAGTACAAGCCAATTCTGTAAAACGCAATGCATGATGTGATAGGGTACAGAACGGGTGCGGCTGGCGGCCAAGATCCCGGCGCCAATCGCGATGGCACCATACGGACGTGACACCGCCGCACAGACGCCACCTTCGCTGCCAAAGGGAGACCAAACAAGACCTCTCTCGCTCGCCTGGGCACTTGACCCCCCCGCGCGACCACTTGCCCCATGCTTGCCTGCTGCTGCTGCCACCACCTCACCTCCACTCGCTTCTCCCCACCGCCACAACCTTTCCCCCCGCTCCCACCCCACCCTCCCCTTTTCTTCGGGGGCGCAACACCCAGGGCGCTGGTTTTACAATCACCGCTTTGCTTTCGGAGAGAAAAAAAGACGCCGTTTCCGTTGTGGTAGTCTGTTCCCAATTACACAGCTTCCTGTTTGGGTTTCTTCAAGCCCATCGGGGTTTTGCTGCAAAAGAACATGAGCGGGGCAGTAAAGTGCGTTGATGTTAATTGCACATAATAGATATTGTTGCCGCTTGCACGTGTGTGCGCATGTACTTTGTTGTTCAGAGTTGCCAAAGTATTATTCAAGCATTTAGATTTATCTGGAAATGACATCCAACATATGCAATAGGCCATGTGTTACATTTTCAGCCGTTTATCACAACACTGAAATTCAAAGACTAATTTGAGACGCCGTGGAGTAAATAACGCACACGCTCCGTGAAATTAAAGTATTCAAGGGATGAGTACTGCAGACGTCCGTGGCTGTGGAGAACTCACGTTTCTGGCGATGTGATGGGTCGCTTTGCCATTGGCTTGCTTCCTGGGGCATCTTTGCCAGCATCTAACAATGAGATGGATGTGTGGGGGGCAGTGGAGGAAACAAATGCACAACAGCTTTCTTATCGTGCAAGCGTCCTAAGAATTACTCGCCATGAAAAATAATGCCAATGTTACACGCCAACTATGAGTTCTCTATTCCATGTCTCATTGTTACTGCAATAGTTTTTCTTTCTATTTCCGCCTGAAATTTACAACCTTCCATAACCATACCTAAATGGAAAAAAGCATTTATTTTGACATGCCCACTGATATAACAGCTGCTCTTCAATCGCCGAGTCAGTGACTCAATGCCCACGTGATCTAAACTTTTATTTTTATTTTACCAGATAAGGCCCACTGAGCTATATAGGTCTTTTTCTGAAGTGACGTGGCAACAAATGATCGCGCAATGAAGTGGCTTATGTGGAAATTTATAGCAGCCAAATACTCGAAACACGTGTTTCTAAATGTGGAGTAAAAAACCAGGGGACCCGGAGAAAAATCCACACGACCAAGGGGGAGAACATGCAAGCTCCACATATACAGGCGTCAGGGTCAGCATCAAGCCCATGACATCCTGCATACCAGGCGAGGTAGTTGACATCTCGCCACCCGATTGACTGTGGACCCAACAAAAATATGCAACACTCTACAAGTCCGCATTACACCTTCATGTGGAGAAGGTGAAATGGACTAACGACGTTGGCGGTGCACGCGCAAGCCCTACGAACCTTGCAGCCACCGCACTTGTGTGGCGGGGCCGTAGCCTTTCTGGTTGCGCGCCGAGATGCGGAAGATGATGGCGGGCTTGGCTCCCGTGTCGAGGTGCGCGCCGGCCAGGCTGGCGTTTGCCACGAGGCACGACGGCTCGGCGCCGCAGTACACGCGCGCAAACGCCAGCTGGGCGGCGGCGGCCGGGGCGCCGGTCTTGCCGTCACCGGCCGCTTGCGCGGGGGGCTGGTTGGGCCGCTTCACCGCCAGGTAGACAGCGTACTCGAGGATGCGGCCGAACTTCAGGGCCGGCGGCTCCCACGTCAGGTGCGCTCCCTCGGGGGTCTGGCGGGCCGGGGGAAAAGGCGACGGTCGCGCATGTTAGCGGATCCTGGCGAACAAGCGGGTGACGGATTTTGTTGGAGATCCTGGGTTGAAATCCAAAAAGAAAGCCGCGATCAAATTGGCTGGTTAAGCTTAGTCAATTGATGGTTTCGTAACTGTACGTAGCCACCCGTGCTAATTGGAGGTGCGGGAAAGCCAGTAACTGAAAAAAGTTTTACTTGGACCCGGTGATGGAGCGAAGCATTACATTTAGAACAGCGGTCGAGGCTGCTGCACAACCGTATAAACCAAACGCAACCAAAGCCTTCAGTTTCACGCAACCACCTCTTCACCTGCATCCACCTCGCCAGCCCCCTCCACCTCTACTGCTATTCAACCCATCCTCCGTCTTCCCTCTCCAACCCTATTGACAACTGCAGTGTGCCCTGCACCGTCAGTGGATGGCCCTCAAGGAGTCGCTTTGATTTCCTCTCTAACAACACTCCCATCATCATCCAAGGTAAATAAAACATCCAGATTTACATGTTTTATTATATTATTCGTGTTATATGTGCATTATTGTACAATAATCCTATACAGTATAGGTTAAATGTTATGAAACCTTTTCACTTTCTCCCGTATGTTCAGTCGGACACAGAAACCTATACACCTTTTTTCCCATATAAACATAGTCTCTACATTCGCAAATTCTACTCTTGTGCAGATTTTCAAGAACCTAATCCTCATGAATGTCAAGGCCTTACCCAATACAATGCCGTTTGCGCACTACTGTGATTATAGAAAATAAGAATAATCCACGTACCTTGCTGATTTTGATAGCGGAGGGCGCCCCAGGGAAGCCCGGCAGGCAGGTCTTGAAGGCGGAAATCTCGCTGAAGGAACCGCGGCCGAGGGCGTTGACGCCGGCCACACGGAACTTGTAGGCCGTGCCGGGCTGCAGTGACTGCAGCTTGAGAGAGCTGTGGTCAAGGATGCCACTCGACGCGTCACCGTCCTAACGTGTGCGTGGCGAGCAGTGTGCGAAAGGTGGAAATAGCACTCGGTCAGTCATCACCGTACAAACTAAAAAGTCGACAAGGTGCGGGCCCTGCAACCGTTTGCTCACAACACAGCTGGGTTAAGAGGCTCAACTGAAAGGGAGCTCTGGAGAGCTCCTTTAGTGGGCATTTAGGCCGACTGATCTACGCTGGCTATACCATCTTGGAAGATAATGGTGTTACCCACGCTTGACTCCACCACACGCACTCTGCTGATTGACAGTGGTGTTGTCATTTACGCTGCTGGAGGCCCTTTCGCCAGCAGTGGCGTGAGCGAGGAGTAATTGCAGGGCAGCACCTTCTCATATTACTGCACCAATAATGAGGACTAACGCAATGGCTCATCACAAACCTCCATGCTGCTGTCGTCAGGAGGCAGGTGGTAGCGAGTCACCACGGTGTTGGTCACTTTGAAGATGCCCACGTCAAACCAGGGCGCAGACTCCTTCTTGGCAAGCGGTTTAGGCGCAGCCTCAACCACCTCCGGCTTCTGTTCCACGAGACCGCAGACAACATGCACGCGCGGCAATTAATGGTTAGAATTGGCCATTCACCGGACAAGTATCCAACTTAATGCTTGTACGACTCAATGTTAAAGATGGAAAAAAATGCTTTCATCTTGTGGCAGGTGAATAATGTTGATTCTTGGGCTGTGCAACAAGAGCTTTAAGTTTCGTCAGTAAGAAAATGGACTTCAAAGTTGCTCTCGTGCGAGCACCAGTGGCGTCACTTTGACAACTCCTATACATGACGACATGTATTGGAGTTGTTACTGTTAGTATGGCAGCAAGTCAAAAATTATCTTTGTTAACATTAACAAAACTTAAGAGTCATACTGGTCGCAACACAAGGCATCCGTATGGGTGGCGGCTTTCCTGTAGCCAGTGTCCCATTTCGCCATCTGGTCTCTTTTCGATTAAAATATCCAAGAATGGTAGCAGCTTGCCACCCTTTTCCGCTCGCGCGCTCACCGTGGAGGCTGCTCACCGATCTTACATTAACATGCTAATTTTTACCTGGTAGCCCTTCAATTGGTGGAAAACCGATCCACCATCGCGGCTGCTGCCCACCACTTACATTAACTCCTCCACCCATGCTGCTGACATGTGGGCTACGACCATTTCAAACCTTTATAAAGTTTGCCTTTAGAAGTTAACCCCCTTTGCCTGATGACGACCGCTTGTGTTGCGATCGAAACGTCGTAGTTTTTTGTTATTTACTTTGAGCCTATCTACGTGACTTTACCGAAAGACCCAAAGAATATTCATTCCTGCAGTCACAAAAGCGTTAAGTCAAGATTTAAAGTTTAGCAATTAAGCCCTTAACAATTTAAAGTTGCATGCATATTAATCATCTTTCACCCCCACCACCTCTCCACCCAGTGGCCTTCTCTCAGGAGCTCCCAAGATTAATGCTTTGATTCCAGAACCAATTATGTTTCGTCTCATTTGTTTCTTGGAGTACATTGTTGATATAGTTTTAAGTTTTCATGAGAATATATAATTGGCACATATATTTAACAGGGGCACAACGTGCACGATTTGACACATGTGCCGTGCGCTTAAAAATCTACGTTAAATAGATGAATATGCGCATGGTCCCATGGCAACAAAATGATGCAATCAAGCAGGGGGCCAGGGCGGCCCAGTGGAACGCACCGCTATAGTGACAATAGTAGGACTTGGCGGGACGTTGTTTGCCACCTGGGCCAGCACGGTGGCCGCCTGCAGCTTGGCGGGGCTCGCGGGCACAGTGGACACGATGGGTACGGTGGGTAAGATGGGCACGGTGGGTAGGATGGGCACGGTGGGCAAAACAGGCACGGTGGGCACGACGGTGGGCACCGGAGGGGTGAGAAGTGTGCTGGACGGAGCAAGGCCTGCAAGAGGGAGGAATCGGCAGAGGTTAATGCCACCCACGACACACACGCGCCCTCATCTCGTAAGGTTCTCAAAATATTATTTGTATTCACACATGTATCTAGCCAAGCTTGAATCAATTAACTGTTGTGATAGTGAGTCGTTATTTTTCCAACCATTGTGGTGACTTTGGTGGGTTTTTGCTGCTGGAGGGGACCAACACGAACCCATTCATTGCATACAACATTTACTAATTAAAAAAATGATTCTTACACAAATCCATGCACATATCGCGAGCTAGCAGAATAAATATTATTCAATGAATCGATGCATCATTGCACCCCTGGTTATGTCAAATTCAGTAGAGTTCATGTGCAACCCGAGCTCCAAAATGTCTGAAATGAGCGCACACCTGCAAGCACTGGGAAGTGGTTCGACTCCGGAGCGGGGTCGTTGAGGCTGTCAGCTGGGGCCAGCGCATCTGATGGTGCTAGAGGTTCGATCTTGGAGGGCAGTAGCGAACCTGCTCTCCATGCAACACGCACGGGCAAATTAGTGTGGAAACATGCAAGCGCACACACATATTGACACACAGACACACATACACACAAGTCCACACTCGCAATAACATGCACACAAATACACTCCGATTCATGCAAAGACAAATAACCCCTATAATACCTTAACAGACTGTGCACGCAAGTGCTGTTACTGAGCACATGTGAATGCCAACACGGCACACGAGGGGGTGATGAGACCAGGCACCATACCAGGCCATCTTTATCTCTCCAGTGCTGATTTTACATACCACAGCAGGTACTCATTTAAGGCCAAGTCAATCTAACACCATATTTCTCTTATAACGGGAAAGTATATACAGGAAGCTGACATTTCTGGCAATGACCCATCTTTAGTGAGGTGGTGCAGTAATGGTGCGTCCGACACACGCATGCGCCCACCTGCGTGCGACGCTGGCTGAAGGGCGGCGGTTGCCGTCTCGGCGCTGGACAGGCACGCGGGGGTGCTGACCGACGCTGGTACCGCGATTGTCGGGGGCAGGATTGTGGCGGTCGTGGGGAGCGGTGCCGGGACGGCCACCTTGATGGTCACAGTGGCAGTGGTTGCAGTCATGGTAATGGCGGTGGCGGCAACAGCAGGGGCTGATGGTGCCGAGGATGAAGGGGGCTGTGGTGGAGCTACTACTACTGCTGCTACTGTTGCTGGCACCGGGGCCACATTACTGCTTGCCGGTGGATTCACGGCAGTGTTCACCGTCTGTCGGGGAAATCAAGACCAAACTCAGTCATTGCCCGTACATTTTTCCAATGCCTCTCATATCATGTAACAAGTGTACATTTCAAAACTTTCAGTCTTCATTAATATGGGGCTTTTAGGCATGATGTAACATTTTTTGCACACACTAAACCTATAAACAGTGTTTCCAAGTCAAAAACTAAGTTCGAAGTTCAGCTTATTTTGTTTAGCCAGGTGAAAGAGAACAAGACAGTGTAATTTGCAATAATGACCTGGGGCATTAGTCTGCCAGTAGAGGGTTGATGACTGCTGCTGTGCATAACCCCAATTGAGCAATTTGCAGTGCAACTTTCGAATTTGGCAACTTTGGAACCCTGACACCGGTAAATGTCATCAAGGGATATTTTATCATCAGTTGCAGTTATTGCATTTGCAGTAAATATTCACAGCGGCCGCTGAATTCGAACCGTGAACCTCTAACAAGCGGCAAACGCTTTACCGCTAAGCCACCACCCTAAATAATTCCCCATTACCCCAATAATGGGGCTAAACTGCTTTACAAATGGGAAATTTTGGCGGGGCAGGTTTGATGTGGCCACTTGGCCATAAGAAATGAATGTGCGGGCATGATAGGTTTCCCACCTCTTGTTGGAATAAAATGTTCCCAACTTAACCTCGTGTGACAATAGGTTCACAATTAGCACTCTCTCATAGGAGTGCCATGAGGTCAGCAAACACAATTAACTTGGTCAATATGATTAAAAGAAAAACCTCTATTTAGGTAAAATTCGGGTAAATTATGGTTAACATGGTTCCACTGTCGACCTGCTGTGACCTCTCACCTGTGCGGGTTGTGGGGCGGCCTCGCTTGCCTTTGGTGCTACTGGGGTCGCGACTGCTGCTGCTACTGTCACCGTTGCCGTCGCTGCTGTCGCTGTTGTTGTTGTCGCCGAAACTGTGGCTGCTACTGCTGCCTCCCCACCACCACCGCTGTTGGAGGTGGTGGCTGCAGTCTCTGAACTAGCCGCTTGGTCCGAAGTGGATGCGATCGTCTGCAGGTGTAACGATGCAACGCTCTGTGTAACACAAGTGTCTTTCTTAGAGAGAGCCGGGTTTTTTTCTTACCCAGCATTATAGACCCTGATTAAGAGTCTTGAGACTCGGCAAGACGTTCATCATGAATGCAAACAATGTTAAATATGCAACAATAACGATATGATGCAACGATACTATCGTCTGCTTTCACCATCTTCCCCATATGATAACATTTCTTACCCCATCCTCTTTCGAAAAAAGTACCCTAATCAACAATTCTTTCAAATTACCACACTGTATAGGTTCCCTCAGTTACACAAGGGGATGTTGAAGAATGGTGGCGAATGGGGGAGGCTTTCAACTAGCTGTGGATTGGTTATGATTGATGATGATTGTCATGTTTCCCTGTGTGTACCGTCGCATGAGACAAGTTACAATCGAAATTGTATCACGTTATATATATATCTTTTGTTGCATTCTATTTTAAGTATTTATAATCCATTAAAACTAATACTAATATACGAGCGCTTTTAGAAAATAAGCAACAGTTAACCATTACTATAATAAGTAATAAACATTAATGTATATTATGCACTTACAGATATTTATTGTTAGATGTAGCTGGGAATCAAACTAACAAAACACAGATATACTATGACAGAATTCAGATTTTGGGGGCAAGTGCTGCTATCGAGGCTGAGTGGACCTAGGGGGAGGCTCAGGACTGGTTCGAACACGGGTCACCAGGCACATGGCGAAGTGCAATGCTAAGCACTGCACTATTGCTCCCAACCACAAAACAAAAAAGACATCCCCAAATAGCCTTAACAGTCAGTTGGGGCAAGTACTGTGAGCGATCACCTATGAAGGCCGGCTCGGTACACTAAGGAGTGGGGTGACCAGAACCACGCCCGACTGCCTTTGTCTCCCCAGTGGCGATGTTTGCACACTGCACCAGGTACACATTTTAGGCTGAGCCAACCTCAGGGAGGCCCAGGACCGATTCAGATAACAGTCACTGGTGGTGGCCATGAGCGGGAATCGAACTGGGTTCGTCGGATTCGTAGTGCAGCGCGCTAACTGCTGCACCACAAAACACAAAGGACAAATGCAAAATCACATGGGCATTACCGAGATGGCGGGCCCCGGGGCGGGCGTTGACTGCGTGACGTTGGTGACGGCGCGGGGCTGGGCGGCTGACACGGTGTTGGTGGCCGTGTTGGTGGTGCCGGCTGTGGCGGTCTCCCCGTGCACGCTCTCCGGAATACCACCCTCGCCGGTAGGGGGAGGCTGAACTGTTGGTACAAAAAATGCGTGAACAGTGGAAGTTAAAGAACATTTATTTTTAAAAGTAACTAATTTGAGATATGGCCGAGTGGCAAAGGAATTTGAGCAACGAGCCAGTACCACCAAAATCCTGGTATAAACAATGATGTATCATTTCTAATTCGTTGTCTACCCCCCCCCCCCCTTTTTATTCCGATTGTGCTATCAGTGTCATGTTATTGGTCTGCTATGACATTTAAAACTATATATTCAAATGTCTAGCAAAGCAGAGTAACTCTTCTGCTTTTCTGCAGTCCATCATTGATACCAAAAGCTAGCTCTGCACCGATGGTGCATCGCAGTTGGTGGTGACACTTTCTGCCACTCGCTCTACAATCAAGTTTGTCACGTAACAGTCAAAGCAACATTTAACATTTCTAAGAGCTGAATATTAGACAATGTGTAAAAATGTAAGCTTGTCATTAATTTTTTTTGTATGCAGTCGTCATTGGTGACCGGGCTGAGACCATCAACTCTCTACACTTGAGAACCCAATGTAGTCACAGGTGGCTACCCAAATTCAAACTTAGCATCTCAGGTCACACTAGCTCAGCCCCCTCTGACCTTCTGTGACACCCAGCCACTTTTTTCCGTAACTTTTATTACTTCTGCCAAAACGGTGCAAGGTGCAGACTGTTACCCTGGTTGGGGTCCATGCTGGCTGTGGTTGTGGTTGACGTGTTGGTGGTGTTGGTCTCCGACGTCTCGTGCGGCGGGCTTTTGCACTCGGGTGGTGCAACCACCTCTGCTGGGGGCTGGGCAACCGGGACAACTGACACAGCCACGGTCTGTGGCTTGACAAGCTGCTGTGCCAACATCGGCGGCTGTGGAAAGAGCGACGATGGTGGCTGCATTAGGAAGGCAATTGTTAGCCGATTTAAGAAAAGCAATAAAAAAAAGTGGCAGGTTGCGTTAAGTATAAATGTTACACTTGGTATGTAATTTAATGTGTAACAGTAAAAAAAAAATATCAAAACATCACTGCAAGAAGCCCTTGCAATGACAGAAGAAACTAAGTGTGGTAAAATGAGGCAAGTGTTGCCAGGTTGATACTGTCCCAACTCTAGTATGTACATATATTGAACTTCTTTCACACCGTATGTAGCCAACCATGCTAATCGGAGGTCTGGAGGAAGGACAACAAACCAATTAGTGTGGCGAAGATGATGGATAAATAATATCTGCGGGCCAGTTGGAAGTGGAAGGCCTCATTGGGCCAAGGGCTATACGAAATTAAGTCATGGGAGGGACGTTTCCGGCCTGTAGGTGGGAGATTCCACACCCCTGACCTACAAGGCGAGACATTTTTCTGAGAGATCAGTACTGCACATTTCCAGCGATCAGCTATCAACATCCCCAATGCAATACCATGAATCAAGAGCACTGTGCATCGGGAGCACATCGCAATAACACAGCGTGCGGTTACCGCAGCATACCTGGTTGATGGATGTGGCAGGCACGGCCGTGGTGCTGGTGACATGGGTGAGGGTTACGTTGGGCGCCGACGGCCCCGCCACGCCAGCCACCTGAGACGAGAGGGCGGCGATGGTGGCCAGCGTCGTGACAGGCGTCGCCAGCGCGGCCGGGACGGGGACGCACGTCACACCAGCCGCAGTCTGTGTGCTGAGGGCACCGGTAACTGTGCCCAGTGTCGTCATGCCTACGTCACGTGCACACACACGGGTTTAGAGCACAGATATACAACTTACCTGGCCTGTGAACACCAGGAGTACGCGAACGTAAAGTACTCGGTGGGCTGCTCGTCGCGAATAGGCTACCAGGCTCACTGAGAATCTCCGAGATACCCGCTTGACTCGCAAAACATCACATTTCCCAATTCTAAAGTGTCTTTCCAATTAAGTGGCTTTAACACATCTCCCTCGACACACACAATATACCGAAATATACACATAACATAATGATCTCTTGTATATCCGTTAAAAGACTGTTGCGGCAAGTGATGTTAAGCTAGCACCTATGGAGGCTGGTACAGCACACAAGGGGGTGGGCGTCCAACACTATTCACAGCCGGTGCTGATGTTTACACACCGCACAGGGTACTCATTTAGGGCCCAGTCAACCTAGGAGAGTCCCCGGGACCAAACTGCAGTTTAAATATTTGCCACTATTATCAGTCGTAACGCAATACACTACCATTCCCCACATGTAATCGCGCACACGCACAAACCTGTGGTGCCCTTGACGACCAGTGTGGTAAGGGCAGGCTTCCCTGCAGTGACGGTTGCAGGGGAAACCAGACGCACCCCTCCAATCATGGTGGCGGCCGACATGGGAGTGACGGCGCGCAGGATGGTACCGGCAGGGCCTGTCCCACGCAGCAGCACCTGGGACAGACGGATGTGAATTGTACACGTTAATGCAAAAGCATCTGCATACACACACAATACAGAAAGTGCATTTGTCAATTGGTACACTTAAGGCCCGTGACCCAATCGCCCGAAATTTGCCGGATCGAGTCACACCTCGGCAGATAAATGGGGTTCAGACTGAACAGCGATGGGATGGGAAAGTCAGCCCACATACGTTAAAAATGCAATTAGAACTTCACTAGAATGATCGATTGAAACCTTACACACGTAGAAAGACCATAGCAAGCAGGATTGTACCACGATAGTGCTTGGATGGACAATTATCATGCATTGCACGATAGTGAACCGAGATTATTTATTATAGAACAGGTGCTGTAGGTTACTACTGCTGGGCTTTCAGTCTGCGGAGGGCAATGCAACATCCATTGTTATACTGTACTACTATGCTCCAATGGTCTAACAGCTTTTCGTAAGTGGAATTTAAAGGCCTAAAATTGTAATTTTGACCGAGCCAAAGAATGGTTCCGCTTGTCCTCAAGTCAGTAAGATCCACTTTGACACGGGTCAGTCATGATAATGAGACTACAGTAAAGCCTCGTTATATCGGTATTTGATAATTCGCAATTGGGGAAAATTCGGCACGGCTGCGCTTTCGGCATATGTACAAAATTAGTAATTCGCCATGAACCGAATTTCCGTACCGAATGGTCCAATGTCAGCAAACACGTGCCGCGACACGACCAAAACAATGACTCAGTTTAGTGGCGGCACGCGTGGCGAGCGTTAGTGCAGACCTGTTGCTTTGGACTTTACCTTGTTAAGGGGCACTCTCTGCAAGCCAACCCTCTCAGATGTCGTCTACACCTACATCAATAAGTCATAGAAAGGGACTGACGATTAAAACCCGTAGTCTGGATAGAATTGATGCAGGTGTGTCAATGCGTACGGTGTGTGAAGAGTTTTACATAAAATAAAGCACGTTTAATGACATCAAGATAGGCCGGGAGAAACAATTTTTGGAAAAAAATAATTATTGGGGCAGGAGATACTGCGACGTACCATTGTACATGATTCAGAATATTGGATAATTTGGAAGTGTCCAATTAACGGCTGAATGTATTCGTCTCTGAAGTTTCCACCTGGTTAAATAAATCAACTTGAACTTTAGTGCTCACCTGTGTGACTCCGGACTGGGTGCTGCCTAGCTTGGGCATGGCTGTGATAATCTTTCCTGGAGCTCCGGTTCCAGAGGTCATGACCTTAGTGGTGATGTAGGTGATGGGGGACTTCATTCCACCTGTTTGAGTTCCACCTACAGTACATCACCAAGTAAACATACATACACAACATTAGATGCATTATAAAACACATGCCTAAGAAAAATCTCAATGACTTAAAAAACTGGGCATGGACTGGACATGGTGGTCAAGACTTATGAAGGGAGTGGTAGCCAAGGGAGGGTACACGCCCAAAAGGACATCCAACGTAGAGGATTGGAGCGATGAAAGCAGTTCGCGTGCTTCAGCCAGATGGGATTGTTGTGTCGTAAGACTGTGAAAAATGGCTTTCATCCAGCAGTGGATTTTACCAAGGCCGATGATGACGATCCCATGCCTATACTGTATGTTTGTTTTTGATTACCAACCTCCATCCCCTATCTGTGGAGAGAAGGGAGCAGGGCAGGGGTCAGAAGCCCGAGGCCACAATAATAGCTCATGGAGCGTGGGCACACAAACCCATGCCCTGGCATGGATCCTCCATGACAAATGGAAACCAAACTAAGCCATTCCTGTGTCAGCAGAGCCTGGTTCCCCGCATGAGTGGAAACAAAGCAATAGCATAATCCGATGAGATTTTTTTTATCCAGTCAAGCACTGTGTGATCGGTCACCTGTAGCCCCAGCCTGGCTCATGAGCGCCGACATTGGGATGGTCTTGATGATAGTGGCACCGCCGGGCTTGCCCACGACGGTGCCCGTGTGGCCGGCCATGGCACCGATGTTGAGGATCTGTGCCGTGCCAGTCATGCCACCCGCCTGCGAGGTGGTGATGAGTGTGGCAGGCTTGCCATCCGCCGATGTCACCAGCTTCACGATGGTAGCGCCCGGAGGCAGGGTGCCCTTGGTCTGTGGTGCAAATGGTGGCGTTGTCAGTGGGTGAGGGAGAGATGATAGGGATGTAAATTACATTATTACATTTTTTACCAGGTAATGCCCACTAAGCGAGATAGTTCTTTTTCAGAAGCAACCTGGCCACAAATGACAGCTCAACGAAGCGGCTTATCACGTTTACATTTATAGCAGCCAAATACTCTAACGCATGTTTCTATATGTGAAGCGAAAAACTGTAGGACCTGTCCTCGGTCTTCCATTCCGCAACACAATTAAAAGGTGAAACTGCAACTCTGCAATTGGTTTCTCACTGAAATGCTGATGGATGGCCTTCCACCAGAGGGCGCTCCATAAAGAGGGTCAGAATCAGAATCTTTTTTTTATAATGGAGGAATCTGATGAGCTATCAAGCTCTTTTCCAAAGATGTCCAGTATGGGTATGTCATATCCAGTATTTGGCCTACCCTTCCACACTGACCAGAAAGGTCGGAATACCCAGATTTTACCTCCCCCCACCCCCGCACCCCGACCAGCCAATCATCTAACTGCTGGGTAATTGTTGGGTGGACAGGGGTAAAGGGATATAAGAAGCCTGCCCAACCGCACTGCCGGGAGCTCGAATCTTTTCCGGTGACCTCTGGACTGCAAGTCCAGTGTATTAACCATCGCAGCAAAGCAGAATCTCTCGAGATAAGTGGCGTCTGCTTCACAGTGTAATTTAACGATCCTGCGACATCATTCACAAGAGTAAACCATTGTGTGCCTGCATCATGGTCCAAATTTGGAAAATTATAAAAATTATTACTCAATTTAAAAGTACATAGCAATTATGGCCCCCGACTGCAAAAACTTGACAGGACCCTCCTGTGGAGTCCTCAAACTCGTTGAAGCCTTCCTGGGTAAACAAGCGTAATAAATAAAATACAAAAAATAGAGTTTATTAGTCTGAAATAAATATGATTTTTTTGCCCATTTTAGAATATGTAGAATCTAGCTAGGTATTTAACTATTATCCTGGTGCATTACCATGATTAAGGGTTACAATTCAACAATCTTACTTTTACACTGTGGTGAATATAAGACGAGTGGTGATAGGATCACATTAATTAATGGGAAATGTTATTTAATAACAAGGAGTTGTGCACAAGCTACCATAGATTATTGCTATTCTATGCAGTTGTCCTGCTGACATTTGTGTATACACACACTGAGCACTCCCAATTATCCAAGACACCTTATTGGAACAAACCGATCATCTAAGCTTTCAGCCAAAGTAATCAAAACCATCGTTGACATTAACAGATATGCTGCTGGGATTTACTTGGATATGTCTAGCACTCTACTTTCTATAAAGGATTAACTTTACTCGTTTCCCTCACTGGAACCATCATGGATGTTGCAATGGCTCCCCGGTGGGGGGTGCCTTGTGCAGTTCTTTGCACATTTCGAGCACCAATTACCACAACGATTGCACCATGGCTCTACCCGGAGGTGACGCTGGCAGCCACTGAACAAAGCATTTGTTTATTTTCCCCCTCTGGTAGGACAACTGCCAAATTCTGTGTGTATCTTTTTCTTCTTTCCTTACAATCCCCCCAAATGAAAACAACACCCCAGATGCCAAAGCCTGGGGGCACAAAATTAAATGAAGCACATCGGTGCAAGAAATAAGGGAGCAATCATTCGCTGGGGCCATCCCACACCGCAGTGGTGGACATGCGTTGTTGCAATGAAAATTAAATATGCATTGCTAATGTACTCAGGCGGCCAGACAATTTAAGGGGCTAATAAGTGTTATCAAGGCAATGAGTCAGCACTTGTGAGACTGGGTTTGAATCGTGGCAGCTACATACGATTAAACTGGATTCACAAGTATAGTGAGATGATGGTCTCAGCTTGGTCACAAAACAATGCACAAAAACAAAATGGTTTGATTGCCATGGTGAAATTACTATTTGAAAATGAAATGTGCACCACCCTTTGTATGGCTACAAAGGGTGATTTTACACTGGTAAGTTTGAGAATACAGAATGTCTTAATAGTAAGACATTACAAGAACAACAGTAAGAATGAGATTGGGAGGACAACTGTCAATAAAAAGGTTGAACCAGAGTTAGGGATGTTCTCAGAAGCACGCACGTTTAGCCGACAGTTGAGACTATCCACTCGGGAAAGGCTACGATCCCCTTCAGTGTACTTGCGCAACGGTAATCCATGCACAAACACGGTTGCAAAATAATGCTTGCTCTGGAAATTAAACTTTACACGCAGTAAAGGTAAACCCTTCATCATGTGCACCAGGCCATCTGCAAGCACTGACTGAGAGGATGAGTCGCAGCCCTTCCCATCAAGCACAAAAGGAGGCACACCCCTGCTCAGTTCCACACCAACTTGATAAACAACCTCCTGCTGTTGAGAAATTCACAGGCCAACTGGCAACACATTTTCCGCAGAGGATGCCAACGTTGGGCACACAAAAGCTTGTTTACTGGCTCCAGTTTGGGCTTATTTATTGCGTTAGTGTGGATCCAAGCATTACAATTATCTTCACGAGCGTACGCAGGCTGCGACAGGTATTGGAAGCATTAGTTGTACACGAACACTAAAACGACAACAATTATGCTCGAGTCATACATTATCAACTGTATGTCACCCTGCAGCCGGTCACTTTGTATTCGTTTTTGTTATTAATCCTGTGAACTTGGTTCGTTTGGTTTTTGGTGAAAAATGTCAGCATTAATGTTTGTGGATCGCAGCAGACATATCATGTTTGTGTGACCCGCAAACAAAACCTACATTCAGTCATCTGAAATATCGGGACCGGCCAGAGGAAGGCATTGCCGGGTCTGGAGACTAGATGGGTGGCTGTGAAAGGGTTTATCCAAAGAAAATTTGTTTTTGATATTCATAATTAATGTACGATAGGATTAATGTAAAAGGAGGCAAATGGCTTTTCAAACGATCCTAAAAGCTGCCGTCAAGAGCTTGCGGGACCAACGAAATAAAAATCAAGCAGCACACACAAACCGGCAAACACTCGCCGCCACAGGACAAAGCGAAGGAGGCTAACCTGAATGAAGTGGGCGAGAGAGCTCGCCTGCGAAGTGACAACCCCAGACTGCACAGGCTTAGTCTGCATCAGCGTCACCAGAGAGCCCAGATTGGAGAGCTACACGGACAGGCAGGCGGGAGGATACACACACACAACACAGCCGGAGGGGAGAGCAAGGGGGGGAGGATACAAAGGCAGTGTCACTACGCACACAAACAACAAGGCCCAGGCAGAAAAAAAATCACCCAAACCACAGCAATAAAAATAAAAGCGATTCCCCGCTCAATATGAGCATTAAAGCTGTGAACCTTATAAGTGAGGGCTGCTCGCTCTACCACTGAGCAACCAGGCTGGGTCAACCAAATAAAGTAGTTCTTCATTGAATTAAAAAGTAGTCCCAAGTAATTGAATTGAATAGCTTTAAGTCAAGGACGTCACACTGTTATTTGAACTCCAGAATATTTTTGCCACATCGGTGAAGGGTGACGTGACCCAATAAACAGATAGCTCTTATCTTATAGATTAACTTGCTTCAGCTATGTATTCTGAACTGTCCATCACGTCTTACAATTAACTGATATAAAATACTCAAACATCACTTCAGAATCACCCCCACATTGATGTGCTTTAATAACATATTATAACAATATGCAGCACATTTTTGGCATTGGACATGTCAAGCCACAAGGTGCATGTCAAATTTTTATTTTAGAAAAATAAAAGCCAGTGCTCGACACATGGAAAAATAATCAGGGTTCGAGAGGTAAATTGTTAGTTTTACATTTCCAGAATGTACCATGTATCGACTGCATTTTGAAAGTGAACTAAAATATACTCTGGTGGGTTCCATCATCTTTCAGTTAACAGCATATGTTAAGCTGATCTCAGATTTAAAGCCATATGCAAGTCGTTTTGTAAAAATGTACATGAAATAAAAAAATCTTTGCAGATATAGAAATATAAACATTTTAAGGAAACATTATATTAGTTAAGGTGGGCAGGCAAATTGGCTTGCATAAAAGAAGAAAAAAGTAAAGCTCACAAAAACTATGGATAGAAAAGAAGTTGTCAACTATAGGAAACAACATAGCACAAAGTGTGAAAAATAAAATTAATAACCCCACTGCCCCACAAAATAGCCCACAAATAAAATTCAGCCATCCACCAAACACAATCACAATAAAACAAAAACAGTTACACTATGTTATTTCAATACGTTTGTATTTCTTCTAAATTTATTCTAATTGCCTTCTTGCTACGTGACAAAGAAGGCATTTTTGTATTCTCACAGAGACGTGTACTCTGCGTGCGGTCGACATTGGCCCATGGGCGAGATTTTTCAGAATGACCAAAAATCCTTCAAATGTAATTTTTACCCTTTAGACAGTAGAATGTGCACTTTCCCAAAACACGTGTATACCATTAGACAGTGAAAGAAATATAATTGTAATTCTTAACAGCTGGAATTTAGGCACATCAAGTGCAAAACCAAATTGAATGATGGATCACTGCTGACCGGGCTAAGACCATCAAGTAACTACATTTGACAACCTGGCTTAATCACAGGTAGTTGAAACGTGAATTCGAACCCAGGGTCTCTGGGGTTCCAGCTTAGCACTCTGGACCATGTGGCACTCGAAAAACATTACAATCATATTCAAGAAAAAAAACATGTTTTGGTGTTTTAAAATGCTATTCAATAATACTTATTTTTCAGAAAGACATATTGCTACGTTTATTACAACAGAATCCTGTGTTTACTCAGCATGTCTTAGCACTAAACCCAAGCATGCTATAATTTTATCGCTACTTGGTACTCGGCCACAAGTGTGGGTTCACAGTCTAATTGGTGGGCACTAGTAATATTTACATCATGATGCAATGCAATAATTATCTAACATTTAGCAAATATACACTGGTTAATTCTGCCAAGAAGCATAACACAGTTAAACTAAAATATATGGAAACACAAAGCAGGTGGAGACTGGCACCGAGGTCGCCCTCGCAAGAGGCAAACACTGTTACAGGTGTATCAATGGGTTTATTTAATCTCCAGGTTAAACAGATACAGCAACCTCCTACCATCATTATCCTCTGCCTGTCAACTTCCACTTGCATTAACATTTGGGTAATTTTTTTCACAGAAATCAGCCACAAGCCACAATGGGTAAGGTTTGTCTCCTCAGGTGGCATGGACAAATGCTCTCGGCCAATAACTTTTCAGCCGGAGGCGAGGGTGCAACAACGCGACGCTCTCCTGACACGGGCGACGTGACGGCTTACCAGTGTGCCGCCCCCAGCCACAGACAGGGGGCTCTTGACGAGGGTGATGGTCTTGGTGACGCCTCCGATCATGGTGGTGACCACCTGCGCCTGCGGCATTACCGAGATGGTGCCGGACTTGTGCACGGTGATGATGGGCCTGCCCGAGGTCCCCGACACCGTTCCGGGTGATGACACCTGGGCGATGGCCGACTTCAGCATGGAGGTCGCAGGAGCGTTGACCTGAAGGGAATGACGCTATACTCAAAAATAATACTGCTCTTATAGATATCCTGTCGCTGTTACCGCCATCAGAGGGTCGTGGATCTATTAACATGTTAATGGGCCCATAGTCGCGCGTAAATGAAGAAAAAAAGGATGTTGAAATGGTTAGGAGTTACCGATTGATCGCGCCATTGTTTTGCAGAGCGGCATCTTTTGTTGTACTAAAGCACCGTTAATGACGACGACCATATGAGGTGGATCATCATCTTTACTTAAGACAAAAACTAGTGCAACGATTTTTTTTTTACATATTAGATGTGTACCTCGGATGTGTCCCGAGCTGTCACACGTGAGTTTGAGGCTTCATAAATGTGGGGCAAAAATAAATTTCAAAATTACGGAAAGGTAGGTCACCATAGCATTGTCTAGTAACACCAAATGACAAATTAAAATATATTGGAGTGATGTTACTTAGTGTAATGACACGGCTGACCGTAACAAGTGAGTCTACCATCTCATGAACAAATATTCAAACTTATATGGAACAGCCTAGAAGGTAAGGCCTCGACATCTATCTCAGGTTATATCTTCGTTTAAACTATTGGTTAATCTGGTTTGTCTGAATAATTGAGGTGTGATTATAAGTAACAAGTGTTGATATTAATGCAAGTGCCAACTTTAAAATGGTGACCAGAAATTAACTCTTCATGCCTCTGAACTAAATTTCATGAGGACTGACAAGAATGAGGCATGAATTTCCTTACCAATCTCGTCGCCCGCATAAAGAGCATGAACGTCAAAGCCACGAGCACGTAATTGCGAACCATTAATTCCATTCACAGGCCCCAAAACATGTCATGGGCTGAACAGTCAAATAATTAGCGTTAATATACTAAATAAAGTAATTAAGCGGCTTAAGTTTTATTTCTATAGGGGACAGTGTAAAGGGGTGGAAAATTGGATTGTTAATCGCGTTTGTTTAGCGTTAGTGATAATTCAACGTAAAAAAAAACAAATTACCAAGAGTTATCAATCGACATGTCCAATAATAACTGCTTCTTCCAATGCGATGTAATCTACACACCCAGGATTTGCCAAGAGTCGGGAACGACCGACGTCACTCACCACCGCTTTGAGATGTGAGACACGGTCCCTTACCACAACAGTGCCAGGAGGAACTTTAATGGTGCCTGGGATGCCTGTGGATCCAGCTGCGAGTGTGGTTGTGGTGGCCCCCAACGAAGAGGCCCCTGCAGGGATCTTTTGGGTGGCGGCGGCCGCAGCAGCAAGCGCTGCCATGCCACTCATCTGTGGCGTGCCAGAAACGGTCTGAAACAAGACCACAGTGAAAATAAATAAATTGCCAATGTTAAGAGGCAGCTTTGATCATGCGCAAGGTTGAGCTGTTGACAGTTTGTGCTTTTGTGTTGAGACGTTAGCCTGCTATATTTCATGTTATAAAGGCATTGTTAATAAAGTTGGTAAAATTTGTATTTGTGTAGTGACATCAGGGGTGTCACTGTATGGTGTCGGCCCGGAAGGGTCGTGCCGTTCGATGTTCCCACATTGTGGACAGCACCGTGTGCGTGGCTGTGTGTAATACCAGCCCTAGCAGGGCTCAGCGACCCCGAGGGGGAGGGGGTGAGTGGCAGCCCAGGGGCAGGGTTGCCCCGGGCCGTGGCACTCTGGTTGACCCCGTAGGCACGTGATCCGGAATGTCCACACAGGGGGCCCCAGGTGGGGCGACTAGTGGGTGATCACGTGTCCGGAGAGAGCTCTTGAGAAGGTTCGAGAAGGTTCGAGAGGTAACAAGAATGTTCAGGAAGGCGGGCGTGGCCAAGGGCGGAGCAGCCCTGACCGGAGAGGGATATAAGGCGGGTCCCTGAGAGGGACCAGGGTCACTGCATTCTACAAGCTGGAAGCTCAACATCTACAAGCGGGAAGCTCTACATCTCTGAAGCTCTCCATCCTACGAGGCAACCACGTGGTCGGAGACCCGTGTGAGGGGTCGACCCTTTGTAGCAGTGACTCGCTGTAGTCTGGTGAAGGGGCAATTACCCCTTTGTGTTACGGTGTTAGAAATAAAAGTGTTGCTTCTAAAAGGAACAACGTCTGCGACTCAGTTGGACCCACTACATTTGTATCCAAGAAAATTGATAATGGCTGTGCTGTGTTATAGAGACAGTTGGCATCTCAGAGATCAAGTTAAAATTCAAGTTTCAGCTGTTCGTTGTTAAACCAGATCTTAAGTGCAAACGAGTTTAGGGTATGAGTTTGTCTCCAATGACTGCAAAAAAAACCCATTTTATTTTGTTGATAATGAATATTTGCATGTAATATGTATTTTGTTTAACTTATTTTGCATCGTACGTAGCCAGCCGTGCTAATTCAAGGTGCGGGACTTTTTGGGTTAGGCTACGCAATGATCTGGCCAAATATCTGTCCTAAGACCTCCACCACCCAACATAGCCAAACAAATGTAATTATCGCATGCACAAGCACTTAACACGCCAATACAAGTATTATTTATTGATGAAAATAACTTTAAACGAGCTGTCATGAATAAATTGCAGTGTGCAAACATTACAAAGTAGGTGATTTATTCATAATAGACTATTATACCATTTTTAACACTTAATTTAATCTTCAATTTAAAAATCCTATCCCTCTACAGCAGGGGTGGGGAACGTCTGGCCCACGGGCCATATAAGGCCCGCAAAATCATTTGGTCTGGCCCTGCTAAGGCAACTGCAGGCGGGTCTCGAAATTCAATGAATCTAGGAGCAAACCTGGAAAAGCAGTTGCAAGTAGCAACATCATCAATTCCAGCTAACATCACACGCCTCAACAAAGAGAAGCAGTTCCAGCCATCACATTAGGGGTGAGTTAATTAAATGTTTGACCAATAACAGGCTAATTTTTAAGTTGACAATTTTGTATGGCCCACGAATGATGTTAGAAATATACAAATGGCCCTTGGCAGAAAAAAGGTTCCCTGCCCCTGCTCTACAGGCTCACTTATTTAATCAGTAATTATGAATAAGAAATATATTAATCACTGGCAAACATAAATGTGTAAAGAAAAGTCATATATATGTTTTTTATATTTAGTTAAAATGTGATTGGTTGTTCCTGTAATGTGTTTTCTGGAGATGCTTGGCAGCTTCAAGCGGAATATCGTTTCCGATTTCTTAATTTGGGTGTGCGAATGTTCTTCAACTTAGTGGTTTAGTTGAAAAAAGTTATTGGTGATTTTAATGCTTGCACATGGTGACAATTTTATTTGTTTGGCGATGTCACTTTGTAAACATCAAGTACTGTACTGTATAATGTTACTGCTGTATTATTGGTCTTGAGATATTTGGTTTTGCATTTAATTTGGCTAAATTGTCGATAATTTATAAGAATACTTTTTAGAGGCATGTAACAGGCCGACAACAGAGCTGTAGCCAGTTTTCCCCGCTCTGAGATTTCTAAACAGAGGACGACGCTTTGTCTCATGCCTTTACGCCCAGAGCACAACTGGAGAAAAGGGGTCCACAAAATGTTGCACTAATTTATGAGAAATTACTCGCGATTGTTCCGAAGATGAACTCACCCCTACCGTAGGAATATAGCCTTTTCAACACTGACTCAGGGCTGTGAAAAAGAGATGAGTGTTGCCCCACTCTCACCAGAGCAAGATACCTCTGTAAATGCTCGTAATTCAGTGAACTATCGCCCTCTAGTGGCTTAGGGGGAAATAAATTGCTAACGTACAGCAGACCTCAAGCTGCAATTACTGAAACGAATGTATGCTGGCGCTTATATAAAACACCTATCCCGCTCTCTCCATCCAGGGCATAGAGAACATGCTTATAAACAAAGGCATTTTTTCCTTTTATACTCACAAATCCTCACCCCTGTACCATATTCGGAGTGGTTACATGGGCCACCCCATGTTACGTCAGCCGTAGGGGTTATTAGATAGTACTTCACCGTGCCGTTCAGTGTGGGTTATGAAGGGGGGGCAGAACCATTTCAGTGACAACTTGAGTCGCTGGGGTCAAACCACTGCGTTAAGGCTGCACATATTTCATGACTATTTATTAAAATTAATTCCCCCACCACATCACGTGAGTATAATTTGTATTTATGATGTATGGATTTAGTTCATATGCTGGTTGTACCTTCAAGCAATAACAAAAAAAACACCACTGTATTTTAGTAGAAAGCGAGATCAATTAAAAACTTCCCCTACCCACACAAATTGTTGTTCCTGGCAATCGGCAAGGTTATGGGTGCGACTTGACGATAGAATAACAAAAAGTTACGGATTAAGTTTGGAGCTTGTAATTTTCTGCAGCAGTGCCACATGGAGCATCAAGTGACACGCACCGTGGGTAGGGCGGAAACGGTGATGCCCGGGGTGGTAGGCTTGCGTGTGACGGTGAAGATCGGAGAAGAGGATGCACTGGCTCCCTGCGTGGTCTGCACCCGCACCACGGTCGTTCCTGATGGCAGCAAAAGGCGTACACGAAGCACACGATAACAACGGTGTTAGAACTGCTCACGTGGTGTGCTTGAAACACCGAGAATGTCGTTATCAGCACATATACAATACACGTGCATGTACAGCTATTTGTCAGTCCCCATCCCCCCACATCGTGAGGTTCATGGGGACTATTCGTCCATTCGTCAAACTGGTCAGTATGGATTGGTGAATGCAGGAAGCAGACTTTGGGGGCAAATGGCGATACAGTATGTTGAACGTCTTTACATTGGCTACGTATGGTGCGAAAGAAGTTCAACATACATAACGCTTGACAACAAATTTGTGAAGCTGCCTATCCAACGGGAGTGAGTAGTTTAACACGTAAGCGTTCGCGACCAATATCATCCATAAGAGGTTTTTTTGGGTTAGATCGCGTAAACATATAAATGTGTCGTTAAAACCTGCCACCACCCGACAGCCAACTAGTAAGGGTTGTAACGTAAACAGAACATGCCAATTCGTCACGAGTACAGCACACCGGTGTGTTGGAGAGCATTGCCACAACATTTACAATCTGAGTAAGACGTCTCGCCAGTAATTACAACTAGCTTCATCAGGCGACAGCCAGATTTCTGGAGAAGTCCACCTGTTTTGTTCCTTATATAGAGGCTTAGATGTGATGACCACACTTCTGCGCTCTTGCGCAAAGTGAGGGGGGGGGATTAATGAGTCAACGTACATTATGCATGTGCAATATGCAAGCCCTTTGATCTTGCCCTTCCTGTCCATTGTGTATTAAAATAGCCGGACCAACGGTAATCCCTTTTGAATATGGTGCCCTTTATAAGCATGCATTTTAACAATGTATTATTTGATTATTCATCTTCCAAGCAGCACTAAGGCGGTAGCTATCCGAACGGTTAAAATATTTTTTATTTCTTTCAATTTCGATAGATTCTCTAATTAGTCTTGGCCAGTAGTAGCTAGTTTTGCACAAAACTTCAACATGAAAATCAATTGAGTGTCCTTGTTGGCACGCATGTTCTGCTATTGCTGACAGTTATATTTGGGAGTATTTAATATTTATCTGATGTTATTTTAGTCTCATGCTGATGATTCATCCTGTTTGCCCAATATAAAATTTGCCACACGTGCAGTTAATCCTGTACACACATTCTGTTGATAGCTTCGGTAATACATCTTTTGTGCCAGATATTAAATTCTGTACTTTATGTACCGTGCCAAATCTGACTCGGATGTTTTATTTTTCCAAACATCTGGCTAGTTATCAGTTACTCCTGCAATGTATGGTATTTTGATTGTTTTAATTACAGTACAACCTTGGATTGCGAGCAACTTGTTCTACAAGTGTTTTGCAAAACGAGCAAAATTTTAAAATACATTTTAACTTGATAAACGAGCGAGGTCTTGCAATACGAGTAGTACGTATACGCTTTGTCTGCCGTGCGTCACGTGATCACAACTGAGCCGATGTTCTTCCCTCTCTCTCGCTGCGGGATTGTGGGTAATCGTCTCCCATGCTCGGTCTCAGTCGGCGTGCCTCACTCGTATAGTCAACATCCGTGCGAGCGTATACTGTTTACTATAGTGACCATGTGTGTGTGCGTAAACCATTTTTTTAATTTTGTGTCCAAGTGTAGTGACTGTTCTTTAGTAACTGTACTGCAACAACAGCCCCCATGAAGAAAAAGGTTGAAAAGGAGGCAAAAGCAAGTGTCATTGAACAGGTTCCTTGTTAAAGTAGCACAAAAAGAAAAATGTTCCAGTGAGCCAACAGATGGCAGTGATTCCGTTTGTGACAGTGAAAGTCGTCCGACACAATAACCCTCCTCCTCTCCTCTCGTCTCCCTCACACCAGCCACGATTAAATTGACTTAATACATTTGATTACTTTATATTACATTTAAATAATACAAATATAAAAAGGTATTTTTTATTAATAATTTTTAAATATTTTTGGGTTGTGGAACGAATTATCTGAGTTTCCATTATTTATGGGGAAATTCGCTTTGATATACGAGTGCTTTGGGTTACAAACACGTTTCCGGAACGAATTATGCTCGCAATCTAAGTTTTTACTGTACTTGGGCAGTTTCAATGCTCGTGTTATTTTATTTGGCATTCGATGCCCTGTTAATTTGTGCATCATCATAACCGTTCATTTGCAGCACTTCTTTAACATGTTGAATTTCACTTCTCACTTTCTTAGCTCGATGAATTAAGTGGAACCTCATCTTGATAAGAGCAGATTTCTCTGCGGAGTGATGGTGTATGTTTCCAGATGGGATTACTGCAAGGGGGTTCTATAACCTGTTTGACGTTGAATATTATCTTTTCATGTGTGCATTTTTTTCTGGGCAATTCCCATTTCATCCCTGCACCTGCACTAATTTATAAATGCCAATCGACCAGAAATCCCAATGCAATAAGCTACCTCCTGAAAATAAGTCTTCAGGCACTGTGAGGCTTTCCTGGGCAAATTCATATTTAGAGTTGAGCTTATTAGAGTAGAATGGTTTTGATTTTTAACAGTTTGGACATTTGACCATATACATTGAAAGTAGTGTTAGAGCCAGCATTTGGTGCAGTATTACATTTGCAACTGAATTTAATCAGCATCTCACATACTACTGATATTCCCCGTGCCTCTCACGTACTTACATTTAGGTATGTAACAAGAAATCATTGCTTGCTTAACCACTCCCTCCTCAACCACTAACTGTGGTCAGCAGTAGACCACCAACCTCCCCCTCTCCAGGCTCCCTTCAATCCCCCCCTCTGAGAGTAGCTAGTCCGCCTCCCACTGGGCATTCTAGGAACAACAGTAATAGTTTCAGTTGCATGGCCCACAAGCAAATTTCAATTTCTGCACGACTTTCCAAACAATTTGAAAGAAGGAAATTTATGTCAATTATATTGTAATTGTGCTATTAGCATCATGCCATGAGACACACGTTTAGTTCAAAACTCTCATAGCTATCAGTGCCAATACACAGCCCCAGGAAATGTCAGAACTACCGAAGTCCCTCTGACGGGTCTTTATCCACGTGTGATAAAATATTTAAATGGTCTAACAAGAGCGCTTCTGGTAAATCAATCTGATATTTGTTATTCTCAAGAGCTGAAATAAGCCAAAATGTCAAAATAAATTGCGACGAGGCTGAGACCACCAATTGGCTAACTTGGAAACCCGATTTGGTCACACATGGCTGAACTCTGAATTTGAATCGAAGTTCTCAGCATTGTCAACTTGGTGCACTATTCATATTTAACATACTACAGCAATGCAGACCAATGGCGTAGACATTGCATGTAACAATGCATCGTCCCCTCCCAGAAATTCAATTAAATGTTGCAATTCATGGTCACAAATCCCTAAAAATATCAATACTTTGTTAGTGCATTTGCTAAATTGTGTTTGCTCCATTACCCTAGACACATGCATTTAATCTGAGAACCGCTGACAGTCGCTACAAGAGAGGATCTGTCCCGGACATCAACCCTCAGATAAGATGCCAAAACTCTACAAATGGGTAGATGTGCACAAACCGTAAACAATTCTCACACGCACACAGAAACGAGGCATGCATCCTAAGCAGCTCACATGGTACCGTTACCACATATGCACACACTGGCACGTCTAAGCGACGCAGCTTTGCTCACCTTGAGCGTTGGCTGCCCCCATTCCTCCGGCCGCCGATGCGCCCAACAGACGGATGCCTCCGGTCGTAGCCATCTGTGGCATGGGGCTAGCGGGGATGCCAGCAGCCATAAGTGGCGCCGTGGCAGCGTGCGAGGGGCTTTTGTCGCCGGCCATGGCGGCGGCAGCGGCAGCGGTAGCTGCAGAGGCTTGGTCCATGGCGCTGACGCCTGCAGGGGCCTGCACTGGGGTGGCGCCGGCTGGCGGGGGGATGTCATACTTCTGCAGCTGCAGGAGGTACGCGTCAGCCGTGCTGACGGCGCCCCAGCTCACCTCCAGCGAGTCCGTGCTGGCGCGCACCAGCTGCACACGACCCGGCGCCGGCGGCCTCTCTACGTTAGGAAGGTGGAACGGACAGAGCATCATCATCATCAGCCATGGTCCATCCACTCCTGGTGGATGAAGGCCTCCTCAAGCCAATGTGTAAACAAAACAATTGACAAGACACCAAAATAATGATAATAGATGACAAGAGTTTCAGGGTGTTGTTTCACTCCAGTGCCCATGGGGGGACAATGGTCTTCGTGCAAACTGAGCTCTCAATTAAGTAATGGGACCGGAAAACATTTTCATTGTTTTTAGCTACAAAGCAGTTGGAGCTTTCAAGTTATCCACGCAACTTGCAGGACTGCGGCAATCAAGGACCAGAAATAATGCACCCCTGTCACAGATACAAATGACTGTAAAAAATATACCGACGCCTTTGACCGGAAAAAATAACGCGCGCGGATGAGGTTGGCAGTGACTGGCTGTGAACAGGGAAAAGATGCTCGAGCACGTACCTGTCTCGAGGTACCACAGGTCCTTGCAGCACACCTGGTTGTTCCAGGCCTTGCGGTAGCCATCTCGGCCGCTCCAGACAAACAGGCGTGAGTTGATGGACACGGCACAGTGGCCAGCGCGCGGGCGCGGGTTGTTATCCTCAGACGTGTCAGTCGGCACTGACTGCCAGGTCATCGTTTCTGCGCGCGGCGGAGGAAAAACATATTTAAAGTACGCGTAATACGAGGTAATTTCTTGTGTGTGCAGTTGACCAGTGGAGAATGCGTCCCAATTGTGAAATATGTGTGTGCTATAACTAATGTTTGTGATTAAACGATTTTTCAAGCTTACATCTTTACTAATAACATGTGCATTTTCCTATGCAATGGTGAGATGATATTGTAAATTGTTGAAAGTATAAAGTTAAGTCGCTTTGAGATTCTTTGGCATTTAAGAGACTAATGCACATTCATATCAATTTATGAATAGGTAACTGTCTGGCTTAAGCACTGCAACTATGTTGGCTGCAAACAGCAAGCAAAGCTTACGATCATTATTGTAAATCAAGCATACAAAATCAAGCATAATTTCCCCACTCACCCAGATTTAAGCAGGCAAGGTTGCTGGTGCATTTCCATTCCTTCTCATGTGTCGCTACTTTTGCGTCTTCCAATACAAGGGGCACCCATCCTCCAAACACGAACATTCTGGAATAGCAGCAAAAAATAACATTATGAACTCGCACACAAATCTGGTTGCTTATTACTTCTGTCGAGCTCTGTAAAGTCATTGAGCCCTCTTGAAAACCACACTTCACCACAACTAAATTTACTTGAGTGAAATATGAACAAGATTTAAATAAAACAGGAAGCATAGTTATGCTTTGTCAATTTAAACCTCGATTTCACGAACAAAATTAAATGCAATAGTTCCCAAAGCTTACAATGTCCTACTGGTCCTACTGGACTTACTGCTAAAAAATAGCTTCATACCTCAGATTCCTCCAGTCTAAATAAAGTTAAAGATTTTGATTCTGATATATTTCGCAGCTATAAATTATGCAGGATGTTCCACCTTTACTCCATCTTAGCAAGCGTATCCGATCCCTTTTTACAAGCATATCCGATCCCTTTTTACAAGGTGATAATTTAGATTGAAACCCATCTATTATGAGACTTTGACTGCATAAAAGGCATTATGTGGATGTCATCCAGGTTGATTCACATTCAATTGCCACCGTGACAGCATGGATCGTCAATGTTGAGGATTTGTATTTTGTTCACGTGCTTCAAGTGAACATATCTGCGAGTTCACCGCGTTGGGCGTGCACGAGTCTTACTTGGGTCCGATGACTGTGGCAGAGTGAAGACTGCGAGGGAGAGGAGCAATGCCCGACATCATTGGCTGGCTCCAGGTCATTGTGTCTGCAAGTGAGATGGATGGAGTTTCATGCAATTTTAAAAATTAAGCCAAAGCAATCAGTGGGTGTAGGTATATCACGTAAAGAAATATATTTTTTAATATATTTCATTATCAATGCACTGCCAGGTGAAAGACTCCCCATATCTGGTCATTCGTAGGCATTATTTGACCATATTTTACCAAGCTGGTCAGTGCAGAGTGATGAAGATGGGGAGCATAGACATGGAAGCGTTTGACAAATAAGTACCTCAATAGATTTTGCTATACTGCATGGCGTTTGTAGTCAAAAAGGTCAAAATAAAAAGGTAAAGATGCAGCCCTCCAATAGCCTCCCGACACAGCTTCTGATGGAGGGCCCTCAACTAGAGGGAGCTCAAGAGTCCCTCTAGAGGGTTCAACAAGTCAAAAAAGTACACAGCTGTAGGTGAAAGAATTTCATAACCATTACAAAACATTGACCTACACAACTGAACAATTAATATACAAATGAAAAGATCGGAGGTGAAATTTGCTGTCAGACCTCACAACGCCACCCCCGTTCTCCGCGCCGTATGCGCCACACTCACCAACATCGAGCGTCCACAGATCTCCGAGGCGGCACCCGCTCATGCCTCCGTAGATGACGAGCATGGGCCGACGTCCCAGCGGCTGGGTGAGTGCCGGTTGTGTCGGGGTTCCAGGGGAGGCCTCAGGGGGCTGGGGGTAGACGACGGCCGTGTGGGACTCGCGAGGGGGCGGCGGGGCACCCTGTGTCACGGGGATGTCCCAGCCCATCACCCCCGAGCCCGGCTTCAGCTCCAGCACGTACAAGTCGTTCAGATACCTGGCGACAGAGGTCAACGTCAGTTTAAGTTTGAGCGACGCGTTGACATCACAAGAAGGATCGACTACGAGTTAATGTATAATATCCTCAGGTTTCATGTATTCTTCGACTCAAGATACGAAAACATGCAATCATGTGTAAGATTGTTTTATATGTAATGTTATTTATTTAGACCAGAAAGCTTCACGGATTCTCAATGTTTGGTCAATTCAACGTAAAGGAGTGTTCTGAATGTGGGATGAAACTGGTTTCCGTGGATAAACCCCGCCACCCATATGCAGGAATAACCCGAACAGTATGTTAAGAAGACCACAAACCCATTGGCTATGCTGCCATCTCTTGGCCAATTTACGGCACAGCAGGTTTGGGAGTTTCAAACATCTGCACGATACACCAAAACCTTGTTTACAAAAAGCCTGACTACAGGCGTACCACACCATGCATAACTCTAAAGACAAAATTATATCGTGTGCAGACGCGGCCACATTGTGATTCTTACACTGCCCTATGAGCACTAACACCCGAGTACAATTCCTGGCCATGGAAAACATCAGTGATGAGCGAAATCTGAATTGGTACACAACGCAGTGCTAACCATGGTGCTAACCCCCCCTCCCCTTTCCAAACCCCTTCACAAACCTGCACTCACCAGCGAAGTACACTCAAACAACCCCCACGACTAACATGACATGGGGAGGAGGCCTTCATCCAGCATTGGATTATCAAAGCACAGTACATTAATATATTGCATACCTTTTCACAACAATACAACATCAACAGTCAAACAAGAATCCATTCGGCGCACCTGGGAATGTTGTTCTTGGGGTCCTCGCTATCGTTGGCAAGACCCCCAAAAAGATAACACTTGTTGCCGATGAGCGAGAAGCTGTGGCCCAGTCGGGGACACGGGGGCGGCCCGTGCTTCGGGGGTTTCGGTTTTAGGCGCTTCCATTCCCAGCGGCTCGCCTGTGGGGGGCAACAAGATGCCGGTTAGAATGAGAGCAAGATGCCGGTCATAGCATGGGAATCGGCGCATCCCTATACGGTTATCCTCTTTAATTCTGACCTTAGTTCATTCAGGGTCCTGGTGCACTGCATGAGGCTGGAAGGGGGAACCTTTCCAATTCAAACACAACGCTTCTTAAGTCAGCAAGGGCAGGAGTTAAAATGAAACATTGTGTTTGATGTTTGAACTTTTAAATAAGGAGCAATGTTCAAGACAGATTGGTGCTATAACAAATATGCAGCTCCATGAATGAGCTAAGAGCCTTTAAAATTAGCAAGCATGTTATTATAGCACTCTGGTGATGTCACTGCGATATCACACGTGTCCGTAATTTTAAAGTCTTTATCATTAAGAATCCTTCAAACCTAAATTGGACAGCCCAAGGCACACAGTGGATTTACAAAATAAGAGCTTTCATTTGTGTTGCATTGTCCTCTAATACATGTGTTATGTGACATTTACAATAGCCTATTCTTGCCAATGTCAACGTGGGAGTTGAAGAGAACTGTGCGACTGCTGGGTGGCTTACCTGCAGCTCGTACAGGTCGTTGCTGTACTTCCCGTACTCCACCATGCCGCCGAACACAAGCAGCCGTGTGCCATCGCACACGAAGCCGTACGCTGCGCAGCCCGGTGGGATCTCGCCACGCACTGCTGGGATGAACCATTGGTTTGTTGCTGCAAACGACACACCGCGGGTGTGAATTTGCCGCAAGCAACGTGGACTTATAGGGTTGCGATTCACATAGCCATATGCAAGATGACCAATGCTCACTCAACCTTCTAATTCCATAAACGTCACATTTAAAAATAACTTTTAAATGTTTATACCAACCACAGCATTATGAAAAAATCTGCCGAAATTCACCAAAATATCAGAAGCTAAGGAGAGTTTACTCAAGATGAGACCGGTGTCTTTGGCTGCCGAGCAGCTACAGTAACAGAGGGAACTGCAGCAAGATCAATTGTACTGTGCAGTACTTCAATGCTCTGATGTCTATTCTCCACGCCTTCACCAAACCGCACTGACCATTATGGTAAGAATCGAAAATTAACCCCCATAACCAGCACAATATGGGGAAGCCCTCTTCCAGCAATGGACTGCCAAAAGGGCTGCAAATGCACTCCAATTGGTAATTTGTTAAACTGAATTTAACGTGTCACATTCATATTTCACAACTCACATGCTTTATTTACTTAATGCTATTATTCGTAGGGCTAATAAATTAAGGCAAATGTGTACAAATTTGTATTCATGGATGCACAATTATATCAAAATATTCACGATTCCCTTCGACATTCAAAGTTTGTACGAGAACTGTACCGATTGACCTCCTTGCGTTCCTATGTATTAATCACGATTCAAGAATCAGTTCCTTTTTTGCACTTGTAGTGAATTTAGTGCCCTCTAGTGGCTAGAGGGTTGTGTCAACCAAATACTGTACGTACATAAACCTAAACGAATAAAATAAAGTGGACATACGTATACTGGGCATAAGAATACATTTTGAATGATTAATTGATGTAAAAGTTACACACAGTATTGGTACTAATATACGGAAGAGCTACCATCTTTAATGGTAACCGAGGCCAACAAATAACATTGCCAATTGACCAAAGAGTAGAGCCAGGTTTACTTGTCATTTCAAGCGGGCACCCAATTCAGTGCACATGGGGTTATTTCATTTATTTTAACACTGGCATTAAAAGATTGTTTAAAACATTAAACCAACTGAAATAACGCTATGATTCATTCAAATATAACGGTGTGCAAGATCAAACTATTATTCCCTAGAATTAGCCGATGTCAGGAGCTTACGTGTTTACTGTCGCCGGACCTGGTTTGTGTTGTTTCACCTCCGTACCCTTGATCTCTTTCGACTTTGTGTCTTCATGCGACTGTAATTCGCGATTAGCACCGTTTTGAAATGCATAATTTCATGAATGAAGCTATTATTATAGTAGAACATTATTATTTTTAGAGTGTAAAAGCACAGCTGTGGAGGGTGGTGGGGCATCTTCCAATAGCGACCACAGGTCTAGCATGGATACTGTTAATTGCGTAATAGTGAAATACCACGGAACGTAAGTCGTACAAAAAAAATAGGGGTCAAAAAACATTTGAGTCAGCTCATTGTGGTGCATATCACACGGGAATATGCGCAATATCATGCCTCATTAGGAAACGGTAGGCATTTTAAGGGTGCTTTGCAAAACCTTTTCTGTGCCAGTATTTCGTAATCGGACGTTATATTATCCTTTTTAGTAATCGTCGTGCCATTTTTTTTGTTAGCACATTCATCAAATCGTTCACGAATCAAATTAAACGAGCCTGCAAAGGATGTTAAGTGGCTATTATTGCTATGGGGAAACTAATTGAATACATTGTTGTGACTTTTCATGCATGTGTGTCACACAAGCCTTTCGGCGCAACAAAAAGTGGACAGGATTTCCCAGAAATGATCCAGGAGTCAAATGTTCTCCACTTAGGACCAAAACATTCAACAGGATCGCTTACACACCAAGGTGAATTCGTAATTAACAAACAGAAGGCACTGCTTACGCATACGGTGGGAATCATTCAATGGACAATAAGCGTAAATATTGGAAAGGCTGACAAAACAAAGCCGAGCAGCCTAATTGGGCATCCCGACCCACCCATCTTCATTGCACACGCTCCCTCCCTCCTAGAAAGCTGTGCGACCTCTATGGGATTCAGTTGTCATTTTTTTTAATAATTAGTAATATTTGTACAACGTCAATGCTTTGTTTCTTTTATTTTTTGTGTCAAGTGAATGGAGGCTGTCACGTGAAACAAAGGCAGCAAAATAATGCGCAATGCGTTCCAATTGCCATAAACACGATTAAAATATAGAACTGTTTGCAAAATATACGGTACTAGACTTTGTACAGTATGAAAAATAATACGCATACAAAATAAAGAAATTCTAAACCAGGGCAAATTTACGTCATTTTATTACATTCATCCAAGGTTTTCACTTGAAAGTAGCCACAATCGCGCCATTAGGCCAAGTATGGTGCGAAACAAGAGTAACACTTTATTTTTTATCCCATTAACCACGACCTAAGTTCATGTATTCTAAAAAATAATGATAAATAAATATTTACATTGGTGTCAAGGTGTTTTGTAACCGAATAATCGCCACTCATTTAACTGCAAGCTACAGTAGCTGGAAACCAACGCGTGCAGACAGTACTGTGTACTCCGCAAGCACACATGCTTGTGGACTTCAGTTAAAACCAAAGGATTGAGTTTAATTCCAAAAGTCTATTCGAATAAAAAACGGCTCACAAAGGATTCGTATTAAAGAGTTGGTACACTTACACCTCCCAGAGGATTATCCCATTATAACTTGACCACATTTACACACAATGAGAACCTTTATTAAAACAATAAAATAAAGAAAATGTGCCCTTTGTTTGAAGCCACAGTAGACGATTGTGAAAAACTATCCACCATCGATCGTGTAAAACCAGGCTAAATATTAGATTTCCCAAAACATTGTAAATTAAACCCACCTCAATGTTGCGAGTTCCTAGATTAAACTACCCAGAGCCAGTACCATTCCTCTCATGAGGAAAAATTAGTGAAACCGATTACTCAAATTTCGTGATTTTGTTTCACATGTTCACTGCTGTACTACAGTAGATTGTTTTGACTGAATGAACGAGCATGCCATTTGTTATCATTGCATCTTTATTGTCTTTCACCCAATGGTTGGATGACGTTGTTACAACCCAGGTCTCTCTTGACTTGGCCTCTATTTCTGAGATATATTTCTAAAAAAAAATTGCAAATCGTGACCCGCTTAAAGCAGGCAACTTAATTTATGCAAAGTTTCAGTTTAAGCCACCGCAATTAAACAAATATATATTTTAAAAAAAGTCCTTCGTGTACAACACAAAAACACAAGGTGTCAGCCGAGAAGCGTCGGTTTATTGACTTGACACCTCTGGTTCCACCCACACAGGGGCAACAAAATATCTAGCTGGAGCAGGATCGGAGTACCGTTCCCCTGTGTGCCACCTCATTGCCCGACAGAACCGACGCCGCTAGGGTAGCGAAGGCGGCAACGCGGGAGCTGCCCTGAGGCAATGGAGGCGCAGGGCAAAATCAACACAAGCGCCTCCACTGACCGGCGCCATGTTATTACCGCCGCTGAGTGGCGGAGGGAGACGTCAACGACCGCGCAGAACGGGGGGCGGCGGGGGGTGTGGCGGTGAAGCGGCTCTGGAGAAGCCGGGTTCGAAGGACCGGAAAGATGGGGGGGGGGGAGCGGAGTGAGACAAAAGTAGTACCACTCACCCCGCTACTTAAAATAACGAGGAAAAAAATAAGACACTGTATGCTGAGAAAGAGCAAGGGCCGTCTGCTGTCAACACAGCACCTCCCGCTCAGCAATTCAAACAATGACAACCATCACCACCCCGCATCAAAAAAAATCGCCCAAGAGTAAAACAGCACCGCAATACTTGCAAAAACGGCGCGCCGAATGCTGAATATAAACAATAAAACGACACCAATTTGAATTGCGCAATTGTTCGAACAAGCAAATACAAAAAAAATTCCGCGGCGATCCTGCATAAATAAAAAAAAGCAAGTCGCGTTTAATTATTTATTTTACTCGTTGGCGGTGGTGATAAAAAAAAGCGCGGCCCGCAAGGCCCCAGCCGCCTCAGCGCTTATCCACACACACACAGACAACACAAATAAAACAACAAAACCACACCGCGGCTCGGGCGCGCGATCGCCGGCGACACGGGCGCCGCGCGCCGCGCACACCCCGCGCTCGTGAAAGGCGCTAAAACGTCGACGGATCGCCGACAAATCGCGACCGAACGGGCGCCGCAAGCCGCTTTGGCGCCAAAGCGGAGCAGCACAAACACGGCCGCCATCTTGACGCCGCGAACCCCCGCGCGCGCACCCCCCACCCCCTACGCCCCCGCCGAGTCGCACAGCGTCACCCGCTTCGCTCGCCGCTCTACGCACGCACCGGTGTTGTAGACGTGCAGCTCGTCCACGATGCCTTCGTTGCCACCGCCGAACACCACCATGAGCTCCTTGATAGTGACGGCGCGGTGGCCGTGGCGCGGCCGCGGCACGGGTCCCGTCGAGCCAGTGATCCGCTTCCACTTGAGCGTGGGAGCCGCCATCTTGGGCCTCGCCTTCCCACAATGCCGAGCGCGCGCGCGAGACAGCCGGAAGCGGCCGTGGGGGATGGATGGGCGGGGTGCTGACCCCCTCCCTCCGTCCCTCCCGCTTCTTCCGCCACATCCCCCGCACCGGCTTCCGGTGACGAGGGGGCCCCCTCCCTCTATCCCACCCCCTTCGCGTGAGACTCGGGAGCTGAGATGCCTACGTCACGGTCCCCCATCATCACGCACCACGTGACCCACTGAGACCACCCCCCCCTCCGCAGCCACCCCTATAGAAATGAGAATCTTTATCCTGGAGGCATCCCGATGATAGACTTTCAGTAGGGGCGGGTAAGGGATACATTAAAGACAAGCCTACAGTCGTGCGATTATGGCCATAAACCACATGGGCCCATATATTAAGCCCATAAGATGTACATTATACACAAGCCACGGCGCGATTAATGGGCATGCAACACAAAAACCATCGACCACATCGTAAAACCACTGCAGTCTGCGCTTATTTAACGGAGGAACAGCAAAACGACACGAACTATCTCTCCTGAGAAGTCCTCTCGTCGTGGCCAGCAGCAAACGTCGACACTGGCATTTAGCAACTGAACATTGCCTTCCATAGGCAGGAAACACTGTAGTACGATGCCAATGTGTGTCGCCGCACTAATCTCCACCCAGACACAGCCGCATACAATTATCTCGTGATTTTGTATTGCTTCAGCACCATCGGTTATGTTCTCAAGAATTCCACACACTTAACAGGTACTGTGTGTACGCGACGTTGGGATCGCTGGCAGTTACATCCAGCATCGTCACGCGATTGGCAGAATTTGAAGTCGTTGATTGGTTCTAGAAAACCTACGTGTTGCATTTTAATCAGTTAAGTTAATTTCTTTGTGAAATGTTCTTGTAAACTCTCCGGCCACTCGTGACCCTTAAGCCATCTTGCAAGTTGGAGTCATTCGCGAGGAATCGATTAAGGGAATCGATGTGCGTAGTTGGACGCATGTATCGAATCGTGCATGCGGTTGGGAGGGGTGAACATGAGAGGAGGGGTGAACCATTACGTCACTGAAAACGGGCGCGTGACGTCATAACAAGGGAAATCAAAAGAATCGACGGCCATCTTACAAAGGGGCATTTTAAAATGGGACCTTTTTTTTGCCAGTATCTCAGCATGAAAAAATAATAGGTTTTAGCCTTTCTGGCAAAACTAACAATAATAGGGTTTACCATTTCTGGCAATAATTTCCAACAAGGGTAAAGCCTATTCTTATTTTTTATAAAGGCACTTTTCATGAAAAATATTACCGACTTTCGTGTTTTTTTGCTGCCCTTCCCCTGAAATGCAGCAAAAAAAAACCGTTCCACAATCGTTATTGTATATTGCTTCGTTACGTGGATGTGTTACTCAACGATATTTTACTTTCTACGTATGTATATTTTGCAACAACGGTGCTCGATTAACATTGGGCGTGCACGCGGAGTCTCGCCCTTAGTAAGATGGAGGGTCCCCACCTCGCAACACGCCGCGCTGTTATTATTAATTCATGGCACTTTATGGACGGTTAAATCCTTTGTTTAAAGAACGACACCCCCCCGGGGGCAATGCTTGAACAGCACAGCTAGTTTAACGACTAAACAAGAAAAAAACGCAACACATTCGTTAATAACATCGTGGCTTTAGAAGGAAGACAAAACTATATAACAGCTGACGTTTCGGGCAATGGACCTATTTTCATAGCACGTAAATTATGTTTTTTTACATCTACATGTATGCACCATTGTGAACGCAGCAGCCACCGCAAATAAGTTGATACATTTAACACACCCGGTCGTGTAATGTCCACAACGCAGCGTTGCACGAACTCGAATTTATATATGTACACATAAAAAAACAAATTAATAATTAAGTGTTTTATCCACTATCTGGCCTCTCTCAATAACAATGAGTACATGCGCCAGTGGTGTAGCCACATACGTTTACTATCCATAGTGCCCCCAGCTCTCGACATTATGCGAGAGCTGGGGGCATTATGGTACCCATAAAGTTAAATTGGTCCCATCAGCTTAATTCCAGATCAATCCCCGTGAACGTGCAATAGTCGGGCAACGTTGGAACAACGTTGGTTTCCGTCGAAGAAAGTTAATGCGGTCCAGAGTTTGTAGCAACGTTTTGCTTGATATTTCTTGAGTAAACATGCCCCTGTAAGGTAAACCGACGTTTGCATGTTCACTGAAGAAATATCAAGTAAAATATATAAACGAGCAAAAATGTTGTTGACACGAGCAAACTCTGCAATGTATTAAGGAAATATTAATATGCCAATTAAAAAAACCGGTAACCAGAAAATGTTTCTTGAATTGAATTTTCATCAGGACCCCACGGTGTTAAGTGCATTCTCCTACCCTTACCCATTTTAAACCCCTGGTCTATGTGCCATGAAGCAGAGTCATTGCTCGAAACGTCACCTTTTGCATATTTTCTGTTTATTTGAATGCCACGATGCTATCAGTGACCAACGTGTTGAGGTGTTTTGTTGGGTTGTACTTTAGCACCACTCCAACGCCAACAGCGGCATCACCAAATACTTGAACTCTGGGCCTGTGGATGCTGCAGTGCGTAGTGGGGCTGCCATCACATTACATCACAGATGACTCTTCACGCCCGCTTCAATGCAAATTCACCCCCCACCCCAACCAGTGGCTGAATATCCCTTTGCAATTACCTCACGCCATCTGTTCATTTGCACATAAACTACATTTACGGACTTGAATTATGTGCTATAATGATGTATGGGACATTGCCCAAAAACGTGGCCTGTTACTTTTAGTATGCATTTTTTTAATGTTAAGGCCACAGTGTTATTGATACGCGTGTTGGGTTTTGTGTCTGTTATTTGTGCGCGTGCACCATTACCAATGCAGCAGCAGCAGCGTCAGACAATATCGTATACCGTATAGATTTGCATAACGAGTCACTTTCCCTCTCGTTTCTCACGAGACTCGATTAATTTATCTCGATTGGATTAAGCAATGATAAATACAGCACATTTCGGGAATTACAATGCGTACAGCGTCCGATTGATGTCAAAAATGGCAAAGCTATGTTCCAAGTTTTAAATGAGGTGGGGAGTGGGTCAGATAAATTCTGTTGATGAGTCTGTGAGACAGTCACCCTATATCCTGTTAACCCTTCTTTAATTTAATTGCATTTGTGCTATTTCGTAATGCTGTATTAGGAAAAAAAAGTTTTGCTGGCTGGCTGGCAGGCTGTGACAGCCGGAGGGAGGCATGGAGGGACGGTGACTTCCAAAGCACATGCGGATTGCTAGTCAGTCTACAAATACATTTTCCTGATTCGACTGTACAGGGAATTTACTATTTGACGGTGATTGATGTTTCCTGCAATATTTTTCGATTTTTGCATGTGACTTCGGTTGTTTTTTTGTTTGCTCTGATTTCCGTTTGCTTCATTGGCGCACTTCATTTGATGGTGTTTCGCTCTTGACATTTTGGTGACACTGGTCAACCGTGGAAAGTTTGACCATCCCCGGCATCTTGAGTTGTCACCTGGTTGAACAAAGTGAACTTGAAATAATCGTGTAAATTCTCTCATCTGTACTGGTCTTATCTTTTGCTACCATCGTTTATGGACATTTTTCACGTCCGTTTTTTCTGCTATGTTGTTGTGTTTCATTCCTTCAGACCAACAGCCAAGAGAGAATATTAATCGGAAAACATAATTGCCATTGTAATTATTGCAAATTGTTGGCGAAAACGCATCATTACCAAATACTGTACAATAGTTATCAATAAAATCTGGTTGTTGTACAGCTGTTCCAGATCATAAGAATTCAACATATTCGTCAATAACGCTGCCGTAAAAAAAAAATCCATATCATTGGTGACGTTTCAGGTGTTGGGCCTTAATCATAGCAATGCATATGCACCACCGCCAAAGCAATATTACAATTCCATTGTTTTAAAATAAGGTGAGGCTTGAAAAGCATAATTAATCGAGGATCGATAAAAAAAGGCAGGCACTACTTCGTGGGAATTCAACATTGGTGGTAAGTAACCCTTGTGGATTAGACTGGCCTCGGCTGCCACTATTGAAGTCCCAAAACATCGCCACCTAGCGCCAATTTATATTAACACAGGGAACGGGGGAAGAAAATACAGCACTGTACAGCCCACTTATATTGCTGGTGGACAGAGGCAGAATGGACCCGAGAAACGTGACCATTGTTTTTGACTGCCACGTCGGAAGATCGACAACCTCTGGATTGTCTAGTGTGTTCACCATCACATCAGTATCTCCCTGATAACGTAATTTGTATTATTATTGCTGTAAACTGTGTATATTTCACCATTGGGCTCTGTTCATGTAGCTGCCTCCAAAAGTAAAACATCAAATTGACTCTAAGCATGCATCTACCCATGCCTCTTTAGGTATTCTTTAGTTTTGGTTGCATTTTCTTTGTCGGTGTCGATAAGGAATATACTTTACACAGATTAACAAGCGGCAAACTGAACACACACATCAACAACACTGTGGCCTTTAAAGACAATCACAATCTTCTTTGGTTCTTTCGGTAAAGTCACGTAGAATGAGAATAAAATAATAAATTGATAAAATAAAATAACACAATAATATTCTCACGACGTTTCGGCCACAACACAAGCGGCCTTCATCAGGTGAAGGGGCGAGACTGTCTGGTAGGACAGCGCTGGAGTGTCCTACCAGACAGTCTCGC